GAATTTCTAGTTTTTGAGGAACCTGGAGAAGTGGGAATTCACAGAAATATAGGCAAGCAAAATTAGAATAAGCAAGAGTAATGACCACCTTTTCTAAGAAATCTCATGGAAATTAAGTATGTTTTGTTTTTCTTCTCAATTAAAAAAAAAAAGGCAATACCACAATTCCTCAATTCTAGACACCATCAATTTATAAACAGGCTCTTTGAGGGGCAGAGGAAAGAAATATGACCACATTAAATGTACACACTGACTCTAAGCCGTATCCACTTCACAAATGCTAACTTTGGGGTTGGGGACAGTATCATGAGGCAGGTTAAGGCATGGAGTAGGGGAGGGGAAGTGAGAGCACAACCCACACCCAAGAAATCTAGTACCCGGACAACTTCTGGCTCTGCCGAGGGTCAGTCGCCTCCACAGATGGGTAGCTTTGCATAGGCTGGTACGTTGATGGCCACAAAAGAGAGATGAAGCTTCTACTCACTTAATGACGGACTGCCCAGGAGGAAACTGAAGATGGCACATCTGTAGTAAATGGAAAAGACTTCAGGTCAGAGAAGTGTCTCATCTTCCAGCATACAAAACCACAGTAAACACCCTTCCCGAAACACATCCCCAGTGGTGGACTCTGGTCAGTGGTACAGACATACACGTCCAGATTCAGGAATGCTGCAAATCTGTTCATATGAGCAATGAAAATATTTTCTTTATAGGATTCCACAATGGGTATCTTGTTGTTTGTGAAATGTACGTATTCAAAGATATCACCATCATATGAATTTTTCACTCCAATTTATACAACAACCACCTGCTCTGTTCTCTATGGGTTCTATATTCTATACTGAAGAATTGTGATTCCTAAGTAAAATGTGTTTGCTCATATTTCTCAGGTGAGACCTTTGATTGAGAGGCAGGATAGCATGGTGACCCTGAGATGCATTCTGATTGAATGCTGCCGCGTGTCCCGGTACGCAGTCACATCTCCCTGCCGTATCTAGAATCTTCACAAGGTTTCTTTTTTCTTTTTAAGTACATTTTTAAGGCTCTTTCTATAAGTAAAAGTGAAAACTTAAGAAGTTTAGCTACCCAAAACCACACCACCACTGTCTATGTTAACCTCTTAAAGGCATGAGGCAGCATCAGAAAATTAAAACACCTTCCCTCCAGAGGGGGAGTCAGCAGCAGAGGCAACTGACTTTCTGCTTCTACAGAGACGTCATTTGAGCTTTACTGAGCAGTACTTCCATTAACCATGAAAAGCTCAGGAAAACTGGAATAATGAAGAAAGAAATCAGAGGGAGACCATAAAAGCCCAGTTCATTTCAAGGAGAAAGCGGTAACATTCCCTTCCCCCTACATTTTAAATATCACAACAAATTTAAGTAATGAAATAAACAATTCACCAAGAGCACACTTTATCTACAACTTTAATTTCTTCCTACTGTGTTCATTACCAAGCTGTTTGCTTTCTTCAGGCAGGATGGGGGAAAAACTTTTAAAAGACTCATTTAACACAGAAGTCAATTTCCACTAATGTATTCTTTGTGTGGCATATGTGGTCTTCCAAAGCAGATCTATACATACAAACATACATATATTAGCCTCTTCCTTTACAAGAACAACAGAAATTAACCTACCTTCAAACAGATCATCACTACTATTTCCCACAGGAAAAACACGAACATGAGAACTATATTTTTTACAACAATTGAAAACTGGTTAGTATTTCTGATAGAACTGACTTCCCTTCACTTGTATAAACAGCTCTAATTGTGAAAAGAATAATGTAACTTTTGTATAACCCAGATTTTACTTTCTGAAAAGTTAGGCAGGGAGTATTTTTCATGCATTCTGCCCTGAGGAAGCAGGAATAAAGTGCTTTCCATCAACTGTAGCTATCAAGTTATTTAACACAAAAAGAGTTTACAGGCGCTGCGGGCTTTGATATTTGATGTGTGTAAGGGGGAATATGAGAGGGGCACCCGGACCACCCGGGCTTTCACAGGGTCACCAAGGGCTCCACAGGTCCTAAACATTCAAAAGCCACTCTCGTACGTGTTCAGCAAAAGGGAAGAACATGAGGGCTTTGCACTCATGTGTAGGAGGCCAAAGTGGGCCGGAGAGACAGATGAAAGCTCAGGCAGCCTCACCGCCCACAAAATATTCATCACAAAGATTCCAAAGAACACCTTTTTTTTTCTTGAGCTTTTCAGATCACACCGAGGTAAAGACAGGGGCTTTTAATTGGCAAGAATGCATGTCTAGTTTGTAAGAGATGAGAGAATATAAGGGACAGTATTTAAAATCCCACAAAATTTCCTCAAATCTCATTCTGTCCAGAAAATTTAGCCAGTACAAGCAGGGAAGGGGACATCTGCATACCCCCATGCACAGACATGCCTGCACCTGAGCACTTAGAATCCAAAAGCAAGATGCTGAAACCAGCCAGAGAAAATACAAAACAGTCAAAACTAATGCTTAGGCGGGGCACCTGGGTGGCTCAGACTAAGCATCTGCCTTCAGCTCAGGTCATGATCCCGGAGTCCCAGGATTGAGCCAGCATCAGGGAGTGTGCTTCTCCTTCTGCCCCTCACTTGTGCTCTCTCTCTTACTCTCTCTCTCTCAAAAAAATAAAATCTTAAAAAAAAAATAATGCTCAGGCAAAATGTACACATGTGAAACACCGACATGAAAGGAAATATATTAAAGAAAGTATATATATTGAGTTCTAGCTTTGATAAATGCAATCCAAAAAAAGAATTTTTCTCTATTCTACCGAGTTTTCTAACAGCTAGTCCTTCATTAAGTTCCCTTATATGGAAAAAAATAATTGTGGTTATTACAGAATTAGGCTAGGCCAGACTTTAATACCCCACAGTACTTATTCCAGATGTAGAAATCTGTGAAATAATATATATTCATTAAGCCCTTTCAGAATGTTGGTTCAAAAAGTGCCCACGAAATGTGGTTCAGGCTCAGCTTCACCATTTTTAACACACAACCCAAGTAACTTCTCCTTCCGCGGTTGCTTGGCTAGCACCTCAGTCATTTACAGAGTACGTTCACCCACATTATCCTAGCAGAGAGATCCTCAGGTAGTCCTGTGAAGTAGGCAGGAGAATTATCATTCCCTACTTAGCAGGAGGAACAGAAGTTTATAGAATGAACAAGAGGTAATGAAAATAGAACCAGGGGGACAAACTGTTGGGACACTCAGCCTAGTGCTCTTTGGGGAAGTTACAGATAGGTTTGTGCCTTGCAACACATGGACTATTCCCTTATGACCATCCATCACAGTATTCTGGTGATAGCTTTTGGGGTCATGCCCTTTAGTCCATCTTCTAAGTCCCTAAAACGGCATAGCTGTTTCTTACCCATCTTTTTCATTAATCTTGTAGAAACAGAGCATTATTTAGTTGCATGGATTAATGAAAAAGAAGGTTAAGACTCCTTCTTTCAGACCATCTCTTCTTGGACAAGCATGAGAGAAACATGAGCTGGGTTTCTGTCTATCAGTCCAAAGAGGAAAACCACCAATACGTGGTAACCGACCTTCTAGAACACCACTGTTTTTATTAACAAACATGGCACCTTAAATAAGGCACAGCTAGCTTGCTTTTACTTAACAATCTGAGTTTAAGAGCTAGAACTTGAGGCACAGCCTTCCCTTCGGTTATAGAAGTTCTTTAGTCTGCCCCAGCTTGTCCTCTTTATCAGTTCTCATTGAAGTGATTTCTCACACAGAAATGAAACAGCGTATTGTGTGAAATGATTCTATCTTTTTTTAATTCTTTTGTTTATTTCAACAGTGACTATTGGCGAAGACGCTAAAACGAGTTCTGATGGTGACAGGTAGAAGGTGGTAACTGAGACGCCATCGATATGTTCCATTTTAAACCACTTGTAGAAACGGAGCATTATTTAGTTGCATGGGTCTGAAATCCCCAAATATACACATCTGTTCTGAGACGATGACAGTTCTCCATGTTCACAGTGAAAATATTAACCCCACAGAAGTCATTTTGGTTGTTTTGACAGAGTGGTGGGAACGCTATGCCATTTCATTGTGCCCAGCCAAAGTAAAGGAAGAAAAGGTGGATGAGGTCCCAGTCTGGGAGTGAGGTCACCAGCTCATCTGCCCTCACAGCAACAAAAGAAGTCTGACTGATGAAAAGGTGTCCCTAGGGTAGAAGTCAACATCCCTTTGTCTAAATGAGTCTTTCAGATGGGGGGGGGGGGGATGTGTTGGCTAGCCTCTCTTAACGTGCCCAGAGTAGCATGTGACTAAGAGCACTTTAAAGTCTGTTGTGAGTGATATAATGATTAACTGACCATTCAAACCCTAGAAAGGTCACGGTAGCAGCCCCTCTCAGTGCTTCAGAGCCAAAGCAGTAGAGTGTGAAACTCAAATTCCACCAGGAGCTCAGAGAATGATTAAAGTCAGAAGTGATCTGTGGCTGCTTATAAATGAAGCCCGAGATCCCTAACATTATCAATAACATGGGGTAGACATAAGATAATTGTGGGTGACAAAAAAAGATAGCTGGATTTGCTTTTGGCTTTTTAATGAGCCAAGAAAAGCGGCTGGGCTAATGAAAATATTAGTTATTAGCTGTAAATTTTGGAAATGAATGCTGTTTTTAAAAGTTTAGGAGGCTGTCTGATCATACATATTTCAAAGAGCACACTATTAATCCAAGCCAATCAATAATACAGCATAACCCTCCAGTCATGTTACCAATGAGAAGAAATTTATTCACCAGTTTTATTCCCACTGAACTCCATATCCAAAGGTTTGGGATTGATTATAGCAAGACAGGTTGTCTTCTTTTTATTAAAATATTATTTGTTACTCAAACATTTTTAAAGCAATAACATGTTATGACTCTTTAATTCGTTGAGTAGAGAACTGAATATTTACTGACATTTCTTGAGAACTTGCTATAAGCCCACAGGAGAGGATCTGACATCGTCACAGTATGTTCTCCTTAACTTGACAGGAAGTCAACTTCAAGCAAATTGACTTGAATCGAGATCTCCTTTGAGAAGCCTAAGTGTCCGGTAAACTGCACTGGTATTTTACTGCATTGGAAAATACTCAAGTTCCAGTGGCTTTACCATCCTGTACTTTACTTTCTGAAAACCTGGCAATCCCATGTGGACTTCGGGTAGAATGAGCAATGCAAAGAGCTGGCTGGGACTTGGCATGTCCTTGTACTTCTGGGGACTGATGGACCTTACGACCACTGTTCTCTCGGGCACACCAACACCACCAGGCAAATTAGAAGCGCTCCTATCAGACAAGCCACAGTCACACTCGCGGACAAAGAGGAGCTGGGTTTGGAACCAGTTTTTTGTTCTGGAAGAGTATACTGGAACTGACCCTTTGTATGTCGGCAAGGTAAGAATGGCCACACAGACAAACTACCAGGGTATCAAATATTGAAAGGGAGTACAAATATGAACTGAAGAAGAGAGGTCGCCTAACCTGTGTTGGGAGTCCCGAGAACAATTTTAACTAGTGGTATGTTACTTAACAGCTAGTTGAAATCTAATTTTGGCTTTGTCAGATACCAGTCAGAAAAGGAAAGATTTCTCCCCTTGTTCAAGCCTCTGTTCTAAAGTGGGAGAAAACAAGGTATTAGATTTTAGAGGAAAAGCTTGGGACCCTGCAAGACCCATTAGAGTCCCAAAAGAGGCAGCGGCAACAGCTTTGGGGAATAACAGAATGGGGAAGAAAGAAACCAGAAAATGCAAAGGGGAAAGTAGAGGGGTTTTTCCCTTTGATCTGTTCGGGTTCCCCCCCCCCAAAGCATTTCCACAGGTATTGCCTGGGGCCTAAATTTAATGGGGAAAAAAAAAGAATAAAACATTCTTCATTTCAGAAGATCCTAGCATGTGCTTTAGAATAGTTTGAGACAATCAATGAATATATTTATAAACTTTACACTCGAATTCCCTTGATTTATCTATCATCATTTCATTTTTAATCCAGGCTTTCTCCGGTGTTTACTTTATTTGGATGTTAATCAGAGACCATTTTGTGAAAGCAACCAAGTGAAAGAAAATGGGAAACAAGGACTTAATTACAAAATAAATAATTCATTCAAATGATAACTTAAACGCTTGTTTAGCACAGAGGCTAAGAATGTGGGTTTCAGAGTCAAACACATATGGGTTCAAAACCCAGCTTTGCCAATTGCTTCCAGAACGACTCTGAACAGGACAATGAAGCCCCGTTAGCCTTGTTTCTTCAAACATCAAACGGGGATAAGGAGAGAACTACAACTTCTCAAAGAGTTGTCTGCATAAGCTCTTTCCTCAACTCCCACCCACTTCTGAATTCAGATCTGACTTCTGTCCCCTGCATTAAAGTCCTGTTTTCAGTGCTCCCAAGGACCTCCCTACTACCAAACCTGATGTCTCATTTTATGGAACCGACCACCTCAGACCCTGCTGACCAGTCCCTCCTTCTTGACTCACTTTCTTCTCTCTGCCTCATGGCCTTCACAGTCCCGTTTTTCCCTCCTTCCTTCTCAGCCTCTTTGCTGGCCCACAGGACCCCATCCATTAGAGGTCCAGCTTGTCTCTTTGCCCCAGGCCACATTCATTCTCCGGATGGATTTGCCATCCCCATGGTTTCAAACACCACCTCTAAATCAAAGCCTCCATCTCTGGCTCAGGCCGCTCGTCTGGACTTCAGACTCATAAACCCTATCGCGTATGTGACAGCTCCCCATTTATGACTCAAAGCCCTCCCAAATGTAGCATATCTGGTAAGGAATTCTCGGTTTTTCTCCCAAACCAGGGCTGCCCCCAGTCTTCCCTATGTTATTGGCACTGCCATCACTCACTTTCTAAAACCAGATACAAGGTGGTCATTCTTCCCTTTCTCTTGCCCCCACATTCTCTCCACCTGCAAATTGTCAGTCCTTTGCCAAAATACATCCCAAATCCTTCATTTCTCCCACCTCCACTTCCACTGATATCTCTCACCTGGGCAAACACCTGAACTCCCAACCAGTTTCCACACTTCTACCCACACTTTCTTCCAATCCATTCCCCACACATGAGCGTCAGACCATGGCACTCTGCTTACATCCTTCAATGCCCTCCCACTGTACTTTGAACCACCCAGACTAATCCCCACAGCCCCCAACGCCACTCCTCTCTGACCCAGCCTGCCTCCCGTCCTCCCACCACATCGCAAGACACCCTTTCTTTCCCTTCCTCTCGTGTTCCAGGGACATAGCCTTCTGGCATTTCCTACAACTTGCCAAGCTTTGCCTGATTTTTCCCCCAAAATAAAATATTCTTCCTCTGGCTTCTTTCGTGGTTGGCTTCTCCTCACTCTTTAGGGCTCATTTGGAATCTAGGTCTTCCTTGACCATTTCCTCAGGTAGGCCCCTCTGTTAGACTCTCTCATGGCCATTATTTTTTTCAGAGCTCTCATCACACCCTACAATATCTGACTCATTTGTCTATTCACATGAGTACTGTCTGAAGCCTTGGGCTAGACTGACTATAAGCTCCCATTTTATCCCCAGGGCCTAACACAGTACCTGTCACATAGAAGGTGCTTTAAAAAAGATATTTAATACTTCCTGGTGTCATAAGGATTAAATAAGCTAACACATGTAAAGTGCTTAGCACAGGACTTGGTCCAGAGTAAGATCTTAATGATCATTACTCTGTAAGTGTAGTAGTGATACTGGTAGTAGTGGTAATAGTGGTAGTTCGGGATTTTGCTATATAACTCAGCAGCTCAGTAATGTGTGTAACCTAATGCAGCCGCCAAATCTCCTAGCCTCAAAATCTGTGACTTCTCTTTGACTTCTTCCTTTCCTTCTCTCCCTCCCTCATGTACAACCAGTCACCACATCCTGTCAATAGCTCCTTGCCAATTTCTCTCAGATTCACCTCATCTTCTCCAGGCTCTGTCATTACTGTGGTCCCTCTGCTCTTCATGATTAGATTAACTAAGCAGCCACTGCCCCGCTCCCTGTAGAGAATCTTCCCCAGTCCTCCCCTAGGACTCAGGACATTCATCTCCTCGAAGCATCCTTTCCATCATGTCACTCCTCTGATTAAGAAAGCATTGTAGCTCCAGTGCTTATCAGAGCTCTTAGCTCCGTTCAAGGACTTGCAGAAAATGAGTCTTCCTCCCTTATCCAGCCCTCCCCTACGATTTCACAAATCTAGTCCTGATCCCAGTCATGCTGGTGTCCTTACTGGCCCTGATACACATACCACGTTTGTCCCTACCACAGACATGTACTCGTGCTACTGCCCTGCCCAGGACACACTGTCACCACCTCTCTGTTCAATCACATTCCAGTTGCTCAGGGCCTTAGCTTAAAAGCCATTTCCATCATGAACACATCTTCTATCTACTCAGAGTTCCAAAGACTTCTAGCTACTCATTATTTGTAAAATATTTCTTCCAACTAGACATACATGGCTACTGCTAAAATAAGTTTAAGAAAATACATTTATTTGTATTCAGTAATGGCTTTGTGTACTTGTACAATCTAGAGCCCTCTTCACTTCTCCCAAGGGTAGAAGCTGAGATTCCATCCTTAGCCTTCCCTACGCTTCCCCAACACTGAGTACCCAGCACAGGGCTGGACATACGACCCTACAGAAAGGCGAAGGTATCTAACGTTGTACTGGGCTACCAGAGGACTATGTGTCAGTCACAGTCACAAAGCGCAGATCATTCAATCATCACAACAGTGCTGTGAGGTAAGTGTGATTCACCACTTTTAGATAATTGGCCTGTGGAACACGGCTCAGAGAGGTGACGCTTATTGCCCCAAGTTACAAAGAAGGTAACAGAAAATCTGACACTGCAGCCACAGGCTTCCCTTTTCATTGCCCTGAGATTTAGCCCTGAAAAATACAGTGAAGAGTCAATGGTGTTAGGGCACCAGGAATCCAACCAAGCCCAACTGCTTCCCGACATTGGGAACTTAGCTGTCTAGCACCCTCTCTCTAGTACTCATGATTAGTGCCCACCCTTTCCTAACCACCCCAACCCAGGACACAGAACACCCTGAGCATCTCGACAGCCATCTCATCCAGCCAACGCTGAGCAGCCAGTGAAGTGGGGTGTTACTCCACGTTATATAGTCACTTAACCACGCACTGTCTCCCCCCCCCCGCTTACTTTGTTTTGAAAGAGAATTCATCCACCTTTCATTCCCTCTCTCCCAGGGGCATTTAGCTTGTCACCTTGAGCTCTGGACGGTGTCTTTTTAGAGAGCCTGCCTGAGTATTTGCTTATTTCAGGGGAGTATGGCAACAATTATCAGCTGTAATTGGTATGGCCTTATAAAATCCACACTGGGCTTTCCAGGGAGAAGGCAGTGTCGAGTTAAAGCTAGATTATATTGACATACGCAAAGAGTGGGATGCAGAGAGCTTGTGCTTGGGCACGAGGCAGTGGTTCCAAGGCATGCTGAGGTTAACAGCTACACGGAAGCTGTCTAACCACAAAGTATAAGGACTACCGTGCTCCTGGAGTTGTACAAGGCACTATGAAAGATGATAAAAAGAGTAAAATCACCCTTGTTTTTAAAATATTAAATCAACTAAGATTTTTCATAAACTACCTGGACTTTCCATCTTTCACTACTCCTTTAGCTGAAGATCTTATAAACTAAAGCATTATTAGGATAGGCAGGATATCCACCTATCTTATTCTGTTTAGATTTGGGGAGGAAGAATGTTTTCCCAAGATGTACATAACCATGTGCTGCCAGCTCCATTCCAGAAGCTCCTTACCTTCCTCTGAAGAGCTGGTACTCAGTCAGCATTAGCTGAATTAAATATGGATAAATTATAAAACACATTTTTATTACACTGCCAGTTTGCTGAGTGACTTCAGGGAAAGTTATCAATGCCTCGCATTTGCAATTGTCGTAACCAAATGTGTATTCTACGGCTGGTAAACCCTAATATTAAATGCACATTACCATGCTGGTTATTAAGCTAGAGTCTCTCAGCTTTGTATTCACCTTCCCATACTCCCCGTAGTGATCAGTTAGGGCTGGGACTCTGCGAGCCACAGTTTCTCCTTTTCCGACCAGCTCCCCACTGGGTTCAGACAGCAGAATGTACCAAAGAGAGAACCAGAGGCAGGAGGAGGGAGAAGGGACTTGTTCCTAATACCTAGCCAACAGGTGGTTCCAGTTCCTGGATCTTCCCCACACTCCCAGCACCAGCCTCATCACACCCCCTCAGAAAGATCAGCACAACTGGATGGCAGCCCCTTCTCAGAAATCTGGATCTGAAGTCTGAGAGAAGTGGGTGCTGGGGGCACCTCCTCCAAGCTCCTGAAGCCCCAGCCCCAGGCGACAGCACTCCCTCTTCGGAGGCCTCGGACCCAGCCTCCTCCAAACATCTAGATTCCAGGAGCCCCAACTGCTGCCCTCTGCCCCCAGCCAGAGGGACACTAGCTGTTTCCTGGAGTTTCTAACCCTCCAAAACTTCAGTGTTCCCTTTTTGCCTTTCCAACTCTCCATATTAAATTTGCTCTGCTAAAATAACTGGTTTAGGTTTTGTTCCCTGACTGGACCCTGAAGTGATACAATTACATTCCTCAGAAAACAGTTCTGTGTAAGCAGATTCTGGTCCCTGTCATAGCTGGTCCCCATTTGTTCCTGTTCACAAAAGGCTCATCATGCTTCTCTGTGGATGCCCTCTCGCCCCCTCCTCCCTCCCTTCTCTCCTTCTCACACACGGGCTCACAAACACACACCCAGAAGCTGTCTGAAAGATGCCTGCTAGATCTTTTTAAACAAAGGTAACATTTCCCAAAAAGCTTTAACCCTAATCCTATACCCTAAGTCACTCATCCCATACAATTTTATTGAGCATTTGCTACATTTGAGAATCCACATGAAGATGAAAGCCACATGGTTCCTGCCTTCAAGGAACTTACCATCCAGAGAATTTCTCAAATTCTTCTCCCGATACAGACAAAAACAAAAGATAACAGATCTGATGTTCAGCCCAGACTCTACTGACATCGGTCAGCTGAATGGCTCCTAAGGAACCAGGACCCCTGCAGCAGCAACAATTTGAGCCTTCTATTACTTATTAAGCACTCTCCATAGGCACAATACTCACTTAAGTTTGGCCTGTGGTAACAGCAAGTACGCTTAGTTTTCTTAAGGACCAGAGGACAAAACTTTTTAGATAATAAATAGAACACCTCAAAACAGTCCTGGGTACGTTATGTCAGCTTCTATTCCGTTTTCTTCCCCCTAAATAATCCGCCCGTGCCCTAAATGAACCTTTCATTATAAGTAAAAGTTCTATGCCACATGCCTTAGGATTACATGTCTTACATATAAAAACACACAGCATTTCTTTTTATATTAAAAAAAACCCTAGGGCGCCCTGGGTGGCTCAGTCGGTTGAGCGTCTGACTCTTGGCTTTGGCTCAGGTTGTGATCTCATGGGTCGTGAGATCGAGTCCTGCTGGCTCCAAGCTCAGCGAGGAGCTCCCTCTGTCCCCCTCCCCACTGTGCACACACTACCTCTCTCTCTCAAATCAATCAATAAATCTCAAAAAGAAAACAAAAATCCTGAGATCCCTCTCCTCCTCCTCCCAATCCCACTCCTCTGCCTGGAAACACAGGTCCAGATGGAATGGATTTTCATTTATGACTGGGTCCCAATAAAATGGCTTTCTATTCTACACAACAAGAGCTGGGCACCTCTGGTTTTTTTAACTGCATAAATAGAAGATTCGGATTGCAAAAAATAATAATACTGTATATGGAATGAGGAAATGTGAGAATTTCATATTCTAAATAGAATTCTTTAAGTAGAAAAAAAAATCCACTAGCAATTTTTTTCGGTCAATGTTATTCCCTTATTTCCCCTCTCTAGGTGCGACACAGCTGAATTCCTCTAGGCGGCAAAATCGCTGCCTGTGTGATTTGGCCATGAGTCAATCTGAGATCAACTCAAAGCCAGCCACAACCTCCAAACCCATCCTTGTCTGAGGATGTTGTGAATACATTTTCAGGTGTCCTCTTGGTGTCTGTGCCATTTAATCCTCAGAGTAACACTGTCCTAGCAACGCTTCAGGCAGCCTTCTGCAGCTTTCCCCGTTAGATTATGCATAATAAAAAAGCCAACAGGTTGTTTGTGCAGTCTCTGCTACACTCCCGAGCAGAGAAGCAGAGAGCAGAGAAGAGCTGGGCATGTTAATACCCTTTTCTCTATGCATATCACCGTCATTATTATCATCATCATAATCGGCCCCATTTATAGCATTCCTATTATGGGAAAGATGCTGTGCTAGGTGCTTTACATACATTAATTTCTAATGATCCCAACAACCCTTCAAAGTAAGTATTAATGGTGTTCTCCACGTTTATAATATTAAAAATTTTAGAGTAATAACCGTTCAAATCTTTGTCAAAGGCCCTCAACTTACAACTGACATCATGTTTTAGGCCAGATACGTCTGCCCCCACTAGCCTAAGGCTAACACTGGTTGCCCATTTTATAAACTAAATCTCTGAACTATGCAAAGTGCTAAAACCCACTTTAGAGAGAGACTGTTAAGTAACAGATAACACTATGATAACACAAAATTTCAGGACTCCTGCCATAGAACATTATCTGTGATTAGAGATGCAGAAATGTATTTGAAATGTGTAATATGAAATAGTGTGTAATATGAAAATAGTGCCCTGGACTCCTTTTGAGAGTGCGTTATCTTTTATTACAAAGTAATCCAGGAGATAACATAGTTGGATGGGTGGATAAAAGCATGTCCCTAACTCAGCCATCCACATATAGATTTGAGTGATTCAATTACAAGCCCAGGAACTGGTCCCACCAAAGAGAGATACACTGATGCAAATACCAACAACTGGCTGTGAAATCCATTCTGACACCCGAAACAGAGGCACACATACATAGTCCTACTGAATGAAATTACTGAATTGGGACCACAGAATCAGAGAGTTGCAGGAGTCCCTGGAGGTCATTTACAATTTCCAGGACAGTGGCCATAGCCTATTTATTAATCAGTTCATCAGTTTTTCAGGCAACTTGAATCATCCCAAGGTTTTTGAAACTCTAAAACTCAGTTTATGTCAAATACTTATTTTAAAATGTTAGGTTTGTCCATTTTTTTTTCTTAAGTGGAAATGCTAGGTTCCTCCTTATTAGACTTGCTCCTATTCTCATGTTGGGTGGGGGCCTACACTTCCCAGAACTCCTGTTTTCTATACTTCTCAGGGAAAGGCACCTAAAAATACAGTAGTAAGTTCAGGATACTGAATGTGATGTGAAAAAATTTTACTTATTCATCAATCTATATTTGGTCTTTGATACAATCATGTTCAATGTATACTAATTCTTTGTAGACCAACATTTTAAAACGTTTGAGTGAAAAAAAATTCTTCCTATTTGAAAGAAGGTCTTAAGTTTGGACCAAAGTGAAAATCAATTTATTTCCAACACCTGTTCATATCCATAATGAGATTTCGGGGTTTGTTTTTTTTCCTAGCTTCATTCAGACATGGACAGGGGAGATGGATCCATCAAATACATCCTCTCAGGAGAAGGTGCAGGTGTCGTGTTTACCATTGACGACACCACTGGAGACATCCATGCCATTCAGAGGCTTGATCGAGAGGAAAGGGCCCAGTACACTTTAAGGGCTCAAGCCCTAGACAGGCGGACCGGCAGACCAATGGAGCCAGAGTCAGAGTTCATCATCAAAATCCAAGACATCAATGACAATGAGCCCAAGTTCCTGGATGGACCTTATGTCGCCACTGTGCCAGAAATGTCACCAGTGGGTAAGGTGGAGAGTCACTGATTCTCACAGACAGCAGTTCTTCTACAGAAGATCCTCCTCTCTATATGCAAAGAGAGAATGTGCAGAACAGCTCACAAATTATAAACCTGGACTGAAAATGGACAACCAGGTTCCTAGACAGGAAACTACTTAGACAGTGAAATCAGCCGTAGTAAAAAATAATAGTAATAATAAGCCTAGCATTGTTATTCAGTTTTGATTCTTAAAAGACAGAGGATAGACAGAAAGATAAATGATTCATAAGGGAGAAGCATTTTGGTATTATAAAAAAGCAATGAAGAACCCAAAGGCTGTGTTGTTCTCACTGGTTACTAAGAGTTTAAAACACAAATAACTCCTGTCTCACTAGAGAGGCACAAGTTAGGAGCTATGGAAGCTTGACCTCAAAAGGGGTTCTCCCAAACAGAACAATTGCAAATGCATTAAGACTGCCTATTCAGCATGCTTCCAAGCCGCTAGCAATTCAACTTGAACAGGTTTCCACCCTCTCTCTTTCTCAGGGACCTCTGTCATCCAGGTGACAGCCACAGATGCTGATGATCCGACCTACGGCAACAGTGCCCGAGTAGTATACAGCATTCTCCAGGGCCAGCCATATTTTTCTGTGGACTCCAAAACAGGTATGTGATGCATGTCATCAGAGATGGTTGCTTTATTCGCTACTAATTCATAACGGCTACTTATGACAAACCCAACTCTCCTTTTCAAGGACTCTCTAGGGACTGTATTAACGAAAGAAGACTGTTACAGGTGTTAGGATTAAGAGAGCAAAGCAGCACTGCCCTGGTGGGTAAGAGCCACACTATGTCTAGACATTGCCCAGAGTCTGACTGGAGAGGCCAAAAGGCCTCCCTACACAAAGGGACATCCTCACCAGCCTTCAATAACTCCTAGAGTTGAATTTATTCCCAGGGATTGTTTTTTATCACTCCAAGAAGACCTGAGAGGATTGACACATTAACCTGGGCTCACTAGAGAACTAAGATCATTGATTTTGAAACTATGAAGAGCCTTAAGGGAATCATCCAGTCCATTACTGGTCACTTAACAAATAAGGAAATTGGGAATTGAGACCTAATAAAGTGCTTCTATTTGTAGATGGGTCCCCTGACTTTTGGTCTGATGTTTTTCCCACTGAACCACCCTGTACTAAATAGAGAACACGGCCAGAATAAATGGATGCTGGGACACACAGATTTTGTTGAGGGGGGAAAGAGTGCAGAGCATGGGATGTGGCCCCCCAAAAAGCAGGTGCTGAGTGGGAAGCTCTCACAGGGAGGAAAGCATAAAGAACGGGATGGGTAAGAAGGAATGTGGCCAAAAAGGACAAATCAACAGAAGTTTGGTTGTGTTTTTTTGTTTCTTTCAGTTTTACCTGAGAGCTTTGACTACAGAACTTATGTTTTATCATGATTATCCTGCACTTGTGCCAAGCTTTCCTCCTTTTAAAATACTTTCACAGACATTACGATATTTGAGCCTCCCATTATTCTTGTGAACCTGTGAAATACATGGGAGGGCTGTTATTCCCATTTTCCATACAGGAAAATTGAAGACCTAAAAGTAATTAACAAGGAACTTGAGTAAAGAAACTTACAGCCACAGAGGTGAAGTAAATGGTTAACACTCAAAGTCACCTCTCCATCTGAAAGAGAAAAAATACATTTCTATTAGCAACCTGATAGAATTTTTTTTTCCAAAAGTCCTAAGGGGAACCAGGCATTCAGAAAATTATATCATAAAAGCAGAAAGTGAGGGAGTGTAAATTAGTAGGAGTAAAGAAAAAAGGTTGCAGTGAGGGGCTTCTATAAAACAGTAACTTTAACAATTCTACAGAGGGGGAGGGAAAGCGGAGGGGATGCCCACAGGGAAGACAGGAAGAGGGTAATGTGTCCTTTATATCCTAAGAGGAACCTTACATTATTTTGACAGCTCCCAGGGGGCATCTTTAGTGTTAAGGTCAAAAATACATGAAAAGATAGTTATTGCTGTGCATTTAAAAAGGAAAATGCTGCATATTTCACTCTAGAACGTTGTTACTATAATGCAATATATACACTATAGGAGTAAACTGGAGACAAGTTTGTGGTTCCCAATCTCTTCTCTTTGCATGCAAAAGGTCTATTTAGCCAAGGGTCATGCTGTAAACGTGCAGTAAATAAGCCTTTAATCTTTGCCTAGAGTGTAGAGAAGTCAACTTTTCTACATAGCAGGGCTAAAAGGGAGATAAAACATGACAGCACATCCTTGGCAGGATCAAAACAACACATTTCACTGGCTTTTGATTTAGACCCCTCTTCTTAAATGAAACTGTATCATCACACTGTGATGCTGCTACTTAGTGTCTGGGGGAGTTCATCCCTTATACATGTTAAAAATGAACAACTCAACAGAGCATCTTACATGTCCCAGCTCACGGAAATCAGTGAAGCACAGAGGTAAGCAGAACATAACAAAACTGAATGAATATATAACAAAAGGAAAATCAAATCAGAATTCCAACCCTGCTAACAGGTATTGGGGAGGCAGGGAAAAGCAGCCCAGGAGTGAGCTGCCTTAAGAAAAGTCATTCACACTACAAGGGCCCTAGGGGCTAAAGAAAGAGCGGGCTGAAAGAGAATTATCTAAAATCATAGATTTGCAAACATACGAGGCTTTTGTTTTCTGGGACCCGAAGCCCCAGTTTTCTTTGGTATAACAGAGACCCGTGAAATTGGTCCGGACTGCTAGTCCCTAACTCTGTTGGAGAGCTGCTGCTGCCACCTCCTGTTTTCTCTCAGTAATGTCGCCAAAGGAAATGGGACTCAGGTCTTCCTGCTGGAAGTGTTTACTCACCATTTGTTTAAGCACAGTACTGTTTTGAAACTAGAATTCTGACCTCAAGTTTAATAAAACATAAATGATTTGCATCTCGACTCTAGATATTAACAATGCACAAGGGAGAAACCTAGAAGCCAATCTTAAACACTGGATTTGTGGATTTGTTTTTAAAAAGTCTTTTCTATCCTGCAGGTGTAATTAGGACAGCGCTCATGAACATGGACCGAGAAGCCAAAGAATACTATGAAGTGATTATCCAAGCCAAGGACATGGGAGGGCAGCTTGGAGGATTAGCTGGGACCACAACAGTCAACATCACCCTCTTGGATGTCAATGATAACCCACCCCGCTTTCCCCAGAGTGAGTACCTAACCAATGAGAGTATAGCTCTCCAGCCAGAGGGATGCACCTATTACAGAAGATGAAGAAAAAGGCAGGCCTGGGTTCCTCTTTAAGTTCAATTATTCATGGGTTCCCTTCCTACATTTATCATGCAATTCTCACATCACCATTTCCCTTCTGGGTCCCAACATCCCATAGCACTTAGCCAGTGTTTCTCACTTCCTTCATTATCACCTCTCTCTGGAGCTCTTGTAGACTTTTTTTTTTTTCCCCTTGATCTCCACGCCCTGCACCCCACCCCATAAAATTAAATACGAAGGAGTAAGATTTTGTTGGGTACGGTTGAACTTTAGAGAGCCACAAACCATCGTAGCATCTAAGATTTATGTTCCTATTTCCCCCTTCCCCAAACTCATGTTTGCCCCCTAGGATAAAATACTGCCCTGTTGAGAACGCACACATAGAAAATAAGCCAAACTGAAGGTAAACACATAGCGGCCCATCTGACTACCTTAACCAGTCAATTCACAAGAGTACCAACCACCTGCTTTCTAATGGCACTGGGCATGAGGGATACAACATTCTTGAAACCCAGTCCCTGCCCCTGCGAAGCTTAAAATCCAGCTGGGGAGCACATATTCCACACTCATCAAAAGTTAACCAAGAAGTAGCATTTGCTGTACCACCTGAGCAGTACAGAATGAAACTTTCACAATAAACTAAGATAAATGAAGGCTTCATCGAAGGATGATACTTTCACAGGGGACTAAAAAATATAAAATATTTAAATAGGAAGAAAGAAAAACATTCCAGAAAGTGGAAGCCTCTCATTCATTAAAAAAAAAAAAAAAAAAAAAAAATTGTTTTGGGCACCATCTAGGTATAGCATATAGAGCAGTGTACAAAACAAAATCTCTGCTCTCCTAGAGCTCATTCCCATAGAACAGGAATGTAAGGGGAAAACATGTATCTACAGTATAAAGACCTGGAAATAAAGTAGCAAATGTGATTTTTTTATGTTCAAAGACCCCCTAAAAATGGAGACCTGCTCTTTAGTGTTTTAAATGTGTTCTATTTCTAAATATTTCTATATTCTAAATGTGTTATATTTCAAAGGAAGTCACTGAAAAGTTTCTGAGCAAGACAGAAACCTAAAGGAAAGCTAATCTGATGGCCATGTACAGGATGGGTTGGCAAGAGTGGAGACTAGAAGCTGGGGAATCCATCAGGGAGGCTTTTAGAATGGTTGAGATTTGAACTGATAAGCACTTACGGAAACAGCAGAAACAGTGCAGTGGGACAAATAAGAAAACATGGATTTCTGCCTCCTGATTTCTTGGCTGAAGGAACCACAGCAGAGGGTGGAGTCAAAGATGACTATGATGTTTTAAGTCTGGGTGACAGGGATAGAATTGTAGTACTGATAGAAATAGAGGATGCATAATGGAACCAGTGGCAGGGAAGGAGGAAGACAAATTCAGATTTGAATATGAAGTGACAGCAGGACAATCTGACTGAATGTCCTTAAGGAAGGTGGAAATACAGAGCTATACCTGTAGAATGGAGCCCAGGAATGGAGAAGTGAATTTGAGAATCAGATGCCTACAAGGAGCAGTTGGAGAAATGAGAATAGCAGACATAATTCCACGTGAAAGACCTGACCAGGAAAATCAGGTTTAAAAAAAAAAAAAAAAAAAGAGGGCGCCTGCGTGGCTCAGTTGGTTAAGCGACTGCCTTCGGCTCAGGTCATGATCCTGGAGTCCCAGGATCGAGTCCCGCATCAGGCTCCCTGCTCAGCAGGGAGTCTGCTTCTCCCTCTGACCCTCTTCCCTCTCGTGCTCTCTATCTCTCAAATAAATAAATAAAATCTTTTAAAAAAAGAAAGAAAGAGAAAGAAACTAAACCCAGACTCAAACCAGCTCATCAGCTGAACAGCTAATATTTTCAGTCAGCCAGACCAAGTGAGTCATCTCTTTTATCTACGTAAAGACAGGAAGGGAATTCAAATAGTCTCATACAACTGGTATACACAAAGACCCCATGATATTTCATGAAATAAAAAGGCAGAATACTAGGTAAGTATTTCACAAGTGATGCAACCAAGTAGGCTACTAAGCTGTTCAGTTCTACAATACAGCAGTGCATCATGAAACAGTTTGTGAAATGCCATATGGACTGGCTTCGTACTTTGTGTGGGTTCTATCTTTATCACTTCATGAATGGCTCACATTGCACACATTATAGACTATATCCTTGAACTACCCTATTTGGCTTTTTAAAATTTGACACTCGACAGCATCTCTGATGAAGACAGAAAGAGCAAAAGCAGCAAGTTATTACATAGCTCATAAGTATGTGGATTTAGACAAACTGCAGGAAAGTCAAATCACCCCAAACATGACAACTTTACAACAGCGTAACACAACACAATGATAACCAGGGTTTTAGTCCTGCCCCACAAACCAACATTCTAAACAACACCCAATCTAAAGCAAACATTTCGAGTTACCACTTTTTCAAGATAACGGGGAATCTAGCATAGAGCAGAAGCGAGGACTGTGTTGCACAGAAGACGAAATGTAAATGTATAAAAGTAATCTGCCTGCAAGCATTCTTTGTGCATCATCTCTACTTCCTCTAAAACCGTAATTATTTTTGCACTTTTAAAAAACTGTCTGTATCTCACCATTAAATATCTCCCCATCTGTTTGCAAAAACAAAGTTTAAATAATCTCACTATTCCATAAACCTACCTTGGATAAACTCTCTGCCTCGCTAATCTTATGATTACTCATTTTAAAAATTCAGTTTTCCTTCCTTTTTATAAATCTTACCATAACTGATCATGGGATGTTGGCAAAATGACACTCCTACTATTTTATATTGAACAAGCTTAGTTACCTTTAACTGAACCAAATTTAATGGAATATCAAGATCTCAGGCTATTTATTTCTAATAGAATGCATCACATGTAGAAATTTTATGTATATGCTTTTTTAAACACAGAACACATAGTTTCTTGGTGTGGGAAAAATACTTATTTTTCCTACAAGTTCTGCAATAGCAAAGTCTAATCCATCAACAATTTTGGAAGAGAATGGAAAGAGATCATGAAATCCAAGTGCCTGCCAGCTGACTACAGACATTAGCAATTTCCTAGCTCGTATTTGCAAAGAACAGGCATTATTTCTTCTCCTGTGCAAGGGAGGGTACTGTGAGCTGGTTGGGTGCTGTCAACCTCCCAAAATCTTCATGAAACTCAAGCCCTCACATCCCAGGCTTCCCTGTAGCTTGCAATACATATTAGAATAAAAGAGACTATGAACATATTGAAAATGTGATTGTGTGATTTTCTTTGTTATTTAGTCAGTCACATTTTGATTGACAAAATAATGAAGAACGTCAAAACGTTGAGCCCCAGAGAACATAAGTGAGCGAAGACACAACTCTGTGGAGATGGAAAGGAACTAAATTTAATTGTGAAGCTGAGAAGGAGAACATTACCAACTCTGAGATTCCTACATTTGTGAGAACTTTTGGGGTATTCTATTCTGGAACAAGAGAACAAGAAACAACAGAGATTTCCACTGGGCAAGGACACACTGATGGACACATGGAGCTAGTGGGAGCTTTGTTCTCTGCGGCTATTCTTCCTTTACAGATCACTGATGGCCGTTCAATTTGGGCAGATGGCCACAGAGATGGAAACTCCATACACTGGCTTGGCCACGAAGGAAAACGTGGGCATTTCAAGTTTGAACAGAATAAATATGTACTTTGCAATCACAATGTTTTTTTCTTTCTCAGAAGGAATTAACATTTGGGGAGATAGTTCATGAGGAGGGACTGAAAGATTGGAAAGCAAGGTAATTCCTTCCACTCTGAAGGTGGATTCACTGAGATAAGAAATATTTTTGTTTTTATTCTGTCCTATTCTTAGGATTAGGTCAAGCTATTCTGGCCCCTCCTTAACCAGTATAAGCTAAGACGACCTACTGTCTGCTCAGCCTCTTTGGATCTCAGTTTTTCTTCTGTAAAACTCGAGTTTTAATTCTTGAACCAAGAGAAAGACGTCTTTTCCAGCATGCCTGATATGATATGATTATACTGCCAAGGCATTTTTTATAGCAACAGATTACAAGAATGCATGTTCTGACCTTTCTTCACAGAACATTATCAGATGAGTGTGCTGGAATCGGCTCCAGTTAGCTCCACTGTGGGTAGAGTGTTTGCCAAGGACTTGGATGAAGGAATCAATGCAGAGATGAAATACACCATTGTGGATGGAGATGGGGCAGATGCCTTTGACATTAACACGGATCCCAATTTCCAAGTTGGCATCATAACTGTGAAGAAGGTAATCCAACTCCTCTTTCCAAATCATGTTAATAGAGGCTTTGAATATATATGAAATGTTAGTAAGGGCTGTTGGGCTATTAATACATATTGCTTCAAATCCTTTGATAAACATTCTTTCCACTTCTTAAAAAGAAAAACCTCTTACCCCTTTTGCTTACATGTAAACACTGGCTGTGTGATCATTTTACAGAGAGGGTACCATGTCATGATAAAAATATATTATAAATATGTCCTTTCTCCTAGCTCACTACTTAACCACTTAAATTATTGTAGTTTAATTCACTAATGATGTTAATGAGTTGATCAATATTTTCAGTTGAATAACGTTCATTTTTTACTATAGTGTACCATAGATAACAATAAACCAAGCTATGATATTATTTATGAATCAATAAATAACACACAGAGATTTTTTAATTGCTACTAGAAGATCTCATAGATGCTAATTAGACTTGGAAAAGCTTTGTCAAACATAGCTGCTGAGTGGTATTACCACTTGCAACTCCTTTGCTTCATAAATTACCAAGTTTTCTGAATGTAAGCTATCAAATTTTTCTGTGGCAAAAGCACATATGGATATATTGGGATGGAAGATAAAACCTTAAAAAACTGAAGTTTTAATACCCTAGTAAATATATGTGATGAAATTTAAAAACTCACTGATTTAATCTTCTTTCTCCTCCATTTTAAATACATCTAAAATCCCAAGGTATCTTAAATTATTTATTCAACAAATATTTGTTGAGCATCTCCCTATGTGCCAGGTATTATTCTAGGCATTTAATGTACAGAGTAAATAAAATAACCAAAAATATCTGCCTTCATGGAGCCTACCTTCTAATAAAGGGAAGAAGACAATCAAAATAGCAAGTAAATCAACAAAGTAATATACTAGAAAGTGCTAAGTGCTATGGTGGGGAGGGGTAAAACGGAACAAAAGTGATATCAGAAAAGCCAACATGACTTCGAATTTTAAATTGGGTGCTTGGGATTGGCTTCACAAAGAAGTGACATTTATACAAAGATTTAACGTGGGTAACGTGCCCACAGAGCTGGGCAGGCTGACAATGCACACCCCCAGGAGGTGCCCTACAAATGACTTTCAGTGAGAACTGCACATGCAGCCCTGGAGACAAGGGAATGGGCATGTGGATACTGCAGAAAAGTGTTCCAGGCAAAGGGACAACCGGTGCCAAGGCCCAGAGACGGGTCTCTGCCTAGTTTGTTTCAAAAGTAGGAAAGGGTTTGATAAGGCTGAGTTGGAGGGGAAGACCAATAGATGAAAAAAGTCAGAAAAGTAACAAAGGAGCTACACTGCTAAAGTAGCTAAACTTAACAGGCTGCTATAAGTAAGTACTTCTTCCTCTCAATAAAGCAGGGAACAACTGGAGGGCTTTAAAACATGTATGATATGGGGCACCTGGCTGGCTCAGTCAGTTAAGCATCCAGCTCTTGATCTGGGCTCAGGTCATGATCTCAAGGTTGTGAGATCAAGCCCCATATTGGGCTCCACGCTCAGCAGGGAGTCTGTTTCTCTCCCTCTCCCTCTGCCCCTCCCCCCACTCTTGCACGCTCTCCATAAAATAAATAAATAAATCTTTAAAAAATAAATAAAAAATAAAACATACATGACATAACTGGACTTTCATTATAAAATGCTCTGTCGGCTGTGTTGAGAAAAGACCATAAAAGGGGAGCAAGGATAGGAACAGGCACACCAGCTGAGAGACTACTGCAATAATCTAGGTAGATGATGGTAGCCTGGCCTAGGGTAGTAGGAATGGAGATAGTGAGAAGCAAACAGAACACAGATATATTTTGAAAGTAGAGTCAGGAAGATTTCCTAACAGATTGGATGAGGACATGAAAGACAAAAGTCAAATGAGCAACAAGAACAGAGCTGCCTCTGAGACGGGGGAGTCTGCAGGTAGAAAAGGTGGCAGGTGGTGGCAAATACTGGGATTAAGTTCTGGACATGTTACCCAAGTAGAGATGTGTAGTAGCTGCTGGTTATAGGAGTGCGGAGTTTGGAGAAGAGTTCTGAGCTAGAAATACAAATTTGGGAGTCACAAGCATATAAATAGCACTTGAAGCAAATACAAGAAAATGCCATTCCAAGGGCTTGAGCATAGATGGAGAAGATAGTGACATGAGCCCCGCAGCACCCCAACATGAAGAGGTCAGAGAGAAGAGCAAAGACAAGCAAGGAGACTAAGGATAGATCAGAGAAACAGGAAGAAAATCAAGGGAGTGTGGTGTTCTGGAAGGCATGAAAAACCATCTCCAGGAGAAGGGAAAGACAATTGCTATTGAAATTCATATAAGAACACTGAAAACTGACCACAGACTTTAGGAATATGGAGACCATTAATGACCTTGATGAAAGGAACGGTCATAACTTAGAATGGGGCACCAGTTAATGTGTTTAATAACAACTTTACTATATGCTGTTCCACAGAGTTGAATTAACACTACTTTAGAAGGGAAGAGTTCACATATTTGTCCTGTATTCACTTAAGCAATATACAAATACAGCAAAAGAACAGATATATTCAGCATTCCACCAACCCAAATCTTTACAACCAGCACCCAATGACCTCAAAACAGTGTAAAATGCTGATATTAACTTCACAATCATCAAATAAATCCGAATATAATTTAAATATTACAGTTTTTTATTTTATTCTCATCCCTTTAGAGTTAATAACATGTTAGAAATATAAAAGATGACTAGAAATAATAATACAAATTTGGTATATGACATAGGATTAAGAACATTCCCCTACTATGTGGTATGCCTTAACTGTAAACAAGGTAAATGCTCAAAGCTTCAGATAATTATTGTTTCTTTAATGCAAAACTCTTCTTTAAAACAATTATGCAATCAGAAAAAGAGCTTTTGGGATTCTCAATATATTTTAAATGTTATTCTGTATCTTAATATACAAGATAATGCTAAATAATATTAATTCGTGTCAAATTATTAGAATATAGCTTAGACCTTATTACAAGCCATTCATTTTTTTAAAATATTAACCATTACAATTTTGTATCTGAAAGGAACTACAAAATGCTGTTTTCTCCAGCTCCCTTACGTGGAGAAAAGATTAAACCTCGTAAGACACACCACTGTCTTTCGTTGTCATTACTAAAACTATACCCATGTTTAAACAAAACAGACATCAGTTTGGCCAAAGTCATCTGGATTTCTCTTCTGAACTTAGGAGGTGACAGAAAATGGAATTTAAAAAGAGGTCAATAGGGCACCTGGGTGGCTCAGATGGTTAAGCGTCTGCCTTCGGCTCAGGTCATGATCCCAGGGTCCTGGGATCGAGTCCTACATCGGGCTCCCTGCTCCTTGGGAGCCTGCTTCTCCCTCTGCTTCTCTCTCTCTCTCTCCCTCTGTCTCTCATGAATAAATAAATAAAATCTTTTAAAAAAAAAAAGAGGTCATTAAGTTGGGTAGATGGACAAGTCAAATATAATAAATACTTTAGAGGCTATTGACTGCTCAGGCTGTACTTTTGGAAACAACATTCACTCAGTTGCCTGATCCACACCCATCTTCTATTTTGTCATTAATAATGTCGTATAAAATTGAAACAGAAGTTCTGTTTTTGATTTATTTCCCTAAGCTCTATTATTTGTCTAAAAAGCACATGCTTTCTCAAAAAGAAAAATTAAGTTGAATTGATAGAATTGGGTCTTCATAAAATCACACTGATTACTACCCAGTACCTTGAGTCTTTTTGGCTTTTAAGTAATCAATCAATTGATTTTCAGTCTCTTAAGTCAAATGTTTGAAAGATAACTTGAAATACATACTTTGCAGATTGCTCTTTATTCTAGATGAGCCTGCTGTTATGCCAAATTCCAGTCTTCAGCATGTCTTCCATCTCCCAGGGTACAATAAAAGCAACTGTTTTGACGCCATTTTCCTCTTAGAGAGTCCACAGAGCAACACTTCTATATTTCATCAAATCTAAGAAGCCCATGAAATGTAAATTACATCACTGTTTTAGATACTACCTTAAAAAAAAAAAACTCTTGCAATTTAATTGATACAATGCCTTCTTTTTCCTTAGTTTATAGTTTTTGAAAAAACTCTTGTTGACACAGACATTATGTGCTTCACTAATACCAGATTTACTCCCTGCTGTTGTTTCCACGCCACTCTGCCCATATAACAATTGTTTCAATGTCATATCATAGTACAATCTTTCTGAAGACATTTTAGAAGGCAATGAAGTTCAACACATGCAGTATCCACAATGTGCAGAACTCAACTGAAATGCATGCATCCTGTCTCCTATTGGGCGTAAAGCAATTGCAAGATGCTATCAATTGGAGAAGCAACCCTATTTCCAAAATGTCAAAATATGAAAAGATGCACACCTTAAAATCACTGAAATACTGTAACATAAAATCTGTATATATTATCACTCAACCAGTACTTGTTAATACTTGCACTGAAAAGCTTTTTTGCGCTACACAATGTAACATTTTTTTGCGGCCTTTTGGGTTTTAGACCCTTGCTAGGCACTGGGAAATAAAAATCTAATTCATAGCCTTTGCCCTTGAGTCTGTGAAAGGGACCAACAAAGAAACATTTGTAAAACAGAATAAAAAAGAACCACAATGTAAGTATGACAAAGTGCTATGGGAACAGAGGAAGGAATAATTAATCCTGCCTAAAAAAGCTGCATTACTATTTTGTGCCACAATTTTTGTGACTCAGTTTTCAAGACTATAATGCCTCTTCATTAGTATGTGCTCTAACTCTAGGAAATTTCTTGAATTTGGAACTTAGGTTTTGAGATTACTATTCTTGGATTTACTTTTACTATTATGACTATGGAAATAATTCTTTGATTTTAAAAAATAAGTACAAAAACTTTTCACGAGAGAAAAGTTAAACTCATATTTCACATATGAGCAACTTAAAGCTTAGAGTATTAAGGACAATGTTTTCTTTCAATTTTAAATAATAAAATTATTTAAGTGAGAGAAACAATAATCTTAATGTAATCATCACTAGGTAACTTATTTTTTAAAAAATTTTAATAATTAAAAACTCATTTTAGTCTCTCCAACAGATAGTGTTGGAACAACTGGATATCCATACGTGAAAAAAACCACTTCACACCTCACTATAAAAAGAAGTTCAAAATGGATCATCTACCTACCTAAATGTAATAAACTAAAACCATAAAATTTCTAGAAGAAAACATGAAAGAAAATCTTTGTGACCGTTACTAGGCAAAGATTTCTTAGATATGACACCAAAATCCCAATAAGAAAGTGATAAATAAAATTTCACCAAAATTAAGAGTTTCTTCTCTTCAAAAGCACTGTTAAATCACAGATTGGGAATAAATATTTACAAACACATGTCTGATAAAGGACTTGAATATAGAATACATAATCAACTCTTCAAGAAGATATATAAAAATGCTAAACATCATTTGGCATTAGGGAAATGCAAATTAAAACCACAATGAGATACTACTTCATACCCACTAGGACGGCTAAAATCAGAAAAACTGATGAAATCAAATAATGACAAGGATGTTAAACAACTAGAACTTTCATACATTCCCGGTGGGAATGCAAAGTGGTATAACCACTTCAAAAATTGGTTTGGAAGTTTCTTATAAAGTTAAAAATATACTTAACCATACAATCCTGCAATCCCATTCCTAGGTTTTTATCCAAGTTAAATGAAGATCTATGTTCACAGAAAAACCTGTATGCAAATGTTCATGGCAGCTTTATTCATAACCATCAGAAACTGGAAACAACCCAAATGTATCTCTAGTAGAGAATGGATAAATAAACTGTGGTACACCCATATAATAAATAGTACTTGGCAATAAAAAGGGACAAACTATTCATTCATGAAACAACATGGATGAACTCAAATGCATCATGCCAAGTAAAAGAAACCAGATTTGTAAAAGTATATACTGAATGGTTCCATTTATGTGACATTCTTATAACAGGGCAGAGCATAGATCAGGTTGCCAGTGGGGAGGGCTTGACCACAAAGGGGCACAGGGCAAGGGGTAATGGCAGTGATAGAACTGTTCTATATCTTATCATGGTGGAAACATGACTATATAATTTGTCAAAACCTTCAAAACTTTATACTAAAAAAGATGAATTTTAATGTAAATTATACCTTAATTTAAAAAAAATACAAAATTTACACCAAATTAGAAAAACGACTTAAAATTAAGGGGAAAACAAACTTTACCTAGCTCAAACCTAACATAAACAACAGTGCCCACTTTGGGTTACCCATATTTAAGGAAAAATTTCAAGAAAACATTATGTAATTTACCAGGAAACAGTGAATGTCTAGATTTAGAGAGTAAGTATAAATAAAATAAATTGGTAAAACTATTCCTTCAAGGGTATCATAATCTGAGTGGCAGACTTCCCTATTAATAAAAATTGCTTTTTAAAATTATTTTTTAATTTATTTTTGTAAGTAATCTCTACACCCAATGTGGGGCTCAAACTCACAATCCTGAGACTGTCACATGCTCTACCGTCTGAGCCAGCTAGGTGCCCCTAAAACCTTGCCTTTTGACTAAAAACTAGGGAGACAGTCAAGCTGGTAAAATGGCTGCTTAGTTTAAATGGGAATGGCTGACTCCACAAAACAAGAAATACAGTGTAGGGTCTAACCAAGCAAAACAAGTAATAACCAAACACAATAACACAAAAAACTTTTTGTTAGATTTGAAAATACCTAATTTAAAGCAACTTCTGCTGTTTTTCTCAAAAGCAAAGCAGTTAATTAAATGGAAACATGCTTCTTTCTAACATAAAATGTGCTGACATTCAGCATATTTTATGAAAAAAAGCACCAGTGAATATTTAGTTAGAAAAATTTAAGTCACTACCAAGCGGATATGTGACTTTTAAGCTTTAGTAACTGCTTTGCTATCCACTGTAATTATCTTAAAGGACTAACTTTCCATGATTTTTTTTTTATTATCAATGATGTTCTGAGGTAACTGTTGCTCAAAACACTTAGACATTTTGTCAGCTTAAAAAAATAAATGGATTGTTCTTAAGAGATACCATTCAAGTTCACTTTCTACCCTAAAATGTTGTATTTATTTTGGCATAAAACATTTTTCAGGTAGGAATAGATTTAAAAAAAAAAAAGGAGCAACCAAAAAATTTTATGTATGACATGGAATTTTACTAGAAAAAGTTAAAGATTTGTAGATGACCTCTGAATGAGGAATTTAAAACTCTAGATGAGCATTTCTACTTTAACACTATGTAATCATGTCTGCTTCACCCAGTATTCCGAGCCTTCTGTCTCCGTCTCTTCAACTATAAAATGAGGCATTGGATTAGATCTTTAAAAGAGATTTTTAAAGGAGAACATCTATGGTAAACTTAATACATAAACATTGATCTGACACAGTACTGTGAGGACCCTTGTAAGGTGCTTATGGTAGTTTCTTGAAAAAAAAAAAAAAAAAATATTGCCTCTGTATTGAAGAATTGGGGGGGGGGCACCTAGGTGGCTCAGATGGTTAAGCATCTGCCTTCGGCTTAGGTCATGATTTCCAGATCCTGGGATCGAGCCCCATGTCAGGATCCCAGCTCAGGGGGGAGTCGGCTTCTGCCTCTCCCCCTGCTTCTCTCTCTCTCTCCCCCTCAAATGAATAAACAAAATCTAAAAAAAATTTTTTTAAAGAAAACGTAAAAGACTAAGCCTTAGTTACGTGGATATTCTGAAACTCCTAGTTCTCATGACATTTTGTCAGATAAACAAGCAGCTTTAAAGATAAGGGGACCAGGCTGCTTGAAGAGTAGGCCGGTTAAAGTACAGCCTGCCCAGAGTAACAGCAGATTTCCTGATCGGTACACACTGGCTGCCTTCACCCTCTCTCCAAGTGTCCAGATCTTCCTTACTTTCTTTACCCCATTTGTTGAAAATGACCTTAAGACCAAGAACTACGAACAAAGGAAAAATTCCCTTTGCTTTTCCCTTTGCCTCTTTTCCACCATTTTAATGAAGTTGGAAGTGTACCCCCTAGCCATCAATACTGGGGATCCTTTAGAACCTTGACATATATGCTCACTGCTAATCAATTTTCCTGTCATTACTTTTCAGCCCCTGAGTTTTGAAAGCAAGAAAAGTTACACCTTAAAAGTGGAAGGAGCCAATCCTCACCTAGAGATGCGTTTTCTGAACCTAGGCCCATTTCAGGACACAACAACAGTGCACATCAGTGTGGAAGATGTGGATGAGCCCCCCATATTTCAGCCAGGCTTTTATTTTGTGGAGGTTCCTGAGGATGTGGCGATCGGAACAACCATACAGATCATTTCTGCCAAGGACCCAGATGTGACCAACAATTCAATCAGGTTTTTCCACAGATTTCACATTTCTTATACTTTAGAATCTTCCCTTCCCTGGTATCTCATTTTCTAGCACTTTTTCCCTTTGCTTCTTCCCTCTCTGAAGACTCTCCTCTTCAGTTCTTCTTGTTTAAATAAGATGGCCTTTCCATGTTATTTAGAAGTAAAGTTATCATTGTGTCGGCAACTCACTGTCAATTTGTTTAGCAAAAAAACACACACATGCGCGTGCCACGCGCGCACACACACACAAACACACACACTAACCTTAGTTTTCAATCATAGCCCTATTGACATTTTTGGGATGGATTCTTTATTGCAACAGGCTGTCCTGTGCATTGTACAATGTTTAACAGCATCTCTGGCCTCTACCCACTAAATGTCAGTAGCACCCCCCGAGTTGTAACAACTTAAAGTGTCCCACATATTGCCAAATGTCCCAGGAGGAGGAAGGGATGGGGGGATCAAAATCATCCCCAGTTGACAACTACCAATTCAGATAAAGCATAGACAGACACATGACACCAAAAAGTTAAAAACTGTCAAATCTTGGGGCACCTGGGTAGCTCAGTCAGTTAAGCATCCGACTTTTGGTCTCAGCTCAGGTCTTGAACTCAGCGTTGTGAGTTCAAGACCCACAATGGGCTCCATGCTGGGCATGAAGCCTACTTAAAAAAAAAAAAAAGTCAAATCTCAGTGATGAATACAAAAGTGATCAATGCACATTCTTTCAATTTTTATGAACCTTTGATTTTTCTACTATATATACTTCCATATACTACAAAAGAACATAGAAACTACTCCTGCTGTCAATGGCTTCGATGCCATGTGGAATGGCCTGATATGGCTTTCTATTTCAAGCCTACATATCAGTCTCTCCAAAGTGTGTTTTGAACTTAAAAGATTCCAATCAAGATGCTTCCCCATCAAGGCAGGGAGGAGAGCTGCTCTTATAGCCATGGCCATTTCCTCCCCTCAACTCTGGAACCAAAGTGCAAACAGCTGGTGGACAGGTTGACACCTCAACCTTCTAGAGCAACTGCCAAGCCTCTGAAGCTTGACACAAAAGATCAGGATTCCAAGGCTGTTTGAGGCCATCTGTCACATTAATTGTTGAAAGTCACATGGCAAAATGGATCTGGGGCTTTAGTGCAGATAACACATTTTAAATGTACCCCAATTTATCAGATGCCTTTTCTATCAACGGGTACTTCCCTCACCTAATGCTATTTTGCATTTAATGAAAATGTGCTTTTTCAGTTTAACAAGGATGCTTCTGTCCTGAGAATAACTCTACTGGGGGAAATCTGCTTCATCTAACCAACTAGTAAACATTTCACATTTGAAGGCATTAAAATGGCTAAAATGATTGTGTTTGAATTCTGATATTTGATTTTTAGAAGTCAACTAATCTTTCTGGTATGAATTATACCAACTTTATAGAAATGATATTTCAACCTTAAGCTTTTCAAATGTATAATAGGAGGGAAGAAGCAAAACTATATTATCCCCAAAACAACCATAACATAAATGAAACAGATTCTATAAATTCATATTTTCAGAAGCCAAGAAAAAAATATACGTATCTTCTGAATCAATTAGTTAATCAGTCCATGTTGGAAAAGATACTGTGGGGAAAATTTTATGGAGGGAGAGAAATAAAACAGGCATAAGCCTGAAAAAATTAGAGACCATTTCTAAAATAGTCAATCAAATATCCAGTGGATACTTCTACATCTTTCCTGATTCTGAATCTGGACTTCCACCTGGTAAGCACTGGAAATACAGTTGTTAGGAGTCACACTGCTAAATGACAAGCAAAAGAGACTGCAGTCAGAAAACACACACACACACACACACACACACACACACACACACGCCCCTAGAGTGTATGTGCAGTATTCAAGACTAAAGTCGTTAATTATCTCAAAACAGATGCAGAAATGAAAGCAAAACACCAACAGGCCCACATCCACTCTTGCCATGGAGCAAAGTGAGATACACAAAATTAAAGAATCCTGTCTGGCTAACAGAAAATGCTGCTTCAGATGCCTGGCCTTTGAAAATCATTAGTTGCCAGCATCAGGGAGGTACATAATAGAGAGGCTTTCTATTCTAATAGACCCCAGTCAGGAGGAATCCACCAGTGAACAGGCCAGAGGCAGAGAGCAAGGTCCCCTTGCTTATCCTGGGGCAGAATTCTAGGTCCTGAGAGAGAAACTGACAAGAACAGGGTGACAGCCACAGGCCTGGAGATAACAAGATAAGCATTCAGACAGAGGGGGCAAAGAATTCCACTTATCAGAACTGGGGATAATTCTCCCTCTGCCTTTTGGTTGCAAAGGAGAATTCATGTTGCCAAGATAGAAGGTTCCTGACTCTTTGAACTGTCTGACAGGAATGAAGAATGGCCCCCTAGACTCAAGTAGAACATCAGGAGTCCTGGATTCTCACAGGGAAAAGCACATAAAGGGCAAATCCTTGGCTATCATTTAATAGACCCATTTGGAAATTACTGTCCAACGTTATCTTTCCCCAAATTGCTCATTTTATCCTTATTTTTCCTATAAAAGTTATTTTCTTTTAAAATAATTTGCAAGTTATATGCTGCTTGGCTATCGAATTCATCTTCTGCATTTTTATTAGAAATAAATGAGATTATATTCCTAAAAAGAAAACACACATATTAAATTGCCCCAAAATCGATGTATCACCTAAAGTTAAAATGTTATGGATAAAAGGCCATTTAACTTTTTAAAAAGATTATAAGGACTTTCATCATCTCCTTTCTAGAAACTTTATGGCATGTTCAGGCATATAAGCTGGTCATGATTTACTAGTAAATCCCAAAACTAAATCTCCAGATTTAGTTACATATACAAGAAAAATACGACGTGTAGTATCTCCTAAACAATTTAGGATCTCCTAAATTTTTAATAAATGCCCAAGACACTTCTGGCAAGCAGGAAACTAAACCATTTGGCAAATGAAATAGGCTTCTGCTGGTATGGAAACAGCCTGCTTTCCTGTGCCTTCCTAGAGTGTATGTGTGTGGATTTAGCAAGCCTGCCCATTGACGCCCTACCTTCAAATCACTCCCAAATTCAGAGTATGTCCTCAGCCAAGCAAGTAAGCAGGGAGCCCAACAAACACTAGCTATCGTTCACTGAAGGCAGTTTTGTATGTGCATATCATGCCTATTCTTCCAATAGGTGAGAACATTATGGTTAGAGAAAGGAAAACCACCTACATAATTCAATAGTGTGTCCCAATTTCCTCATTTTCCATCTGTATCTACACCTTTAATTTGTTCTCCTGCCTCCTGAAAACTGGCGCCGTGTCCCATTCAGAGTAGTGAATGCCGTGACTGCCTCAAGTCAGGAACTTCTGATTTGGGAAATCAGAAGGGGATTCCACTTGCTGAGGACGGCTTCTCGGAGGCAAGCTTGCAGCGTTTCCTCTAGCTGTGGCACTAGGCAGTACTGTCATGGGCTCTGCCGGCTAGTTATTTCTATCACCCCATCTCCCATACCATCTGCGACATTTGCTATGGCGCTGTAGGTCTGAGTGTGCAAAGCTGGTTCATCACAGAGGCTGGGGGCTGCCTCTCCCCTCGGCACTATGCCTCCAGCTTGGAGAGCTGCCATCCGGGTTATGGCTCCATGGGCTGAACGGGGGGCTGAAAGAAAAGACCGCATTTTTTCCCAAAGACAAATTCAACTCTTAAAATAGCCAGTGAACTTCAAAACTAAATCACTAATTATACCTAGAAAAAGAAATGCTCCAATTAATTTTAAATGAACTTTGTAGGCATGTGTTTGTTCTTTACTAAGAAGTCAATGGTGTACCATCATGGCTTCGTTTATTTCAAGAAGAGATAAGGCTTTGTCTTAAACAGTTGCATACGTTCGGTGCACAGTAAGGCAGCATGGAGTGGCAGTCACAAGCAGGAATCTAAACCCAAACTGCTTAGGCTTGATTCCAATCTTGGGACAGTGACTTAACCAATCCAGGCCTCAGTGTCCTCACCTGTAAAACCAAGATAACAGTACCTACCCCTCCTAGGGATACTATAAGGAATAAATGAACCAATATATGTAAGGTGTATGAAGCAGTGCCTGGCTACAGTAAGTATTCATTAAATAGGGTCACAAAGAAAGGCATTAATGTACTTCCTTAAATTTTGCAACTCTTGGAGAATTATAACTGAAATGATTCCATTTCTCCAGCCCTTAGTGATCACTTTTTCCTTTAATTCCTCTCTGAACAGCCAACTAGAATCCCTACAGGCAAAAAATACAGATCTGGAACAAATATTTTACCAAATAATACATACACATGCATATACTGTGTATGTGTGTGTGTGTGTGTGTGTGTGTGTGTGTATGGATAGATGTATATATACCTACACACCTGTACATATTGGAAACAAAAGTTGTACCATCAATATTTACCCTTATTGCATGGACAGTCTGGCATGCATATGTTCTATTTCATTTTCTTTCAACACCAGTCAGAACTAGCCTATTGATTTCACTAACCTGCAATCTGAAATATAACGCACTAAAGAAAATTCTTACTCCCATCAAAACGGCAGTTTCCTAGTTTCAACAACTTTTAAGATATGGCTGCAATCACTGGCAACTTTAAATAGAATTTTGAACAGTAGTTTTATATTACCTCTGCAAATTATTAGCTGTTTAACTGTATGAAAGTAACTTCTCTTAGTTTTCTTTTCTGCTAACACCTACCTTCTAGAATTTTTATAAAAATTTAAAAAGAAGCTATAAAATATCCGGTATTCCGTAAGTGGCACCTATTATAATTACCAGCTGTTCCCAAGGACTACACAGATTCTCAAGAATGGTTCTCAAGGGACATGTGGGTGGCTCAGTCAGTTAAGCATCCGCCTTCAGCTCAGGTCATGATCCCAGGGTCCTGGGATTGAGTCCCGCACCAGGCTCCCTACTCAGTGGGGAGCCTGCCTCTCCCTCTGCCTCTGCTCCCCCTGCTTGTGCATACACTCACACTGTCTCTCTCTGACAAATAAAATCTTAAAAAAAAAAAAAAGAGTGATTCTCAATCATGGCTATATATCATGGAAGATTTTAAATATACAGATGCCTGAATCTCCCTCCACACTGACTGAATCTCCCAAAATGGGGACCAGGTGAGAGAACACAGAGAGTCAGATTGCCAAATCAGGTTCAACAGGAACTGTGGCTCTGTACCCAAAATAAATAATGACTCAAAGGATAGAGACAACAGCAAAATATGAGGCAAGCAGTCTGTCCTTCGAGAGGTCTGAAACCGTCAGGTAAATATCCTTCTTTTCCTGTGTAAGGATCCATGTTGGTCCATACTGAACATGAAAGATATAAGCAATGAAGTGCACTGTCTGAAAAAAAAAAGGAGCCATTTTGGTTATGGAATATCTGCTTTTTATACCCCATTAATTACATAGCTCACATGATATTTTCCAGCAAGCTGTGCCCCATAAATTCATAAATTCCAGGTTTATTTACATTAAGCAACCTAGTCAAACCTGGTTCATCCTGCTAAAAATATTCCACAGATAAGGATTTACTACTGTGTTTGCCAACAGGTCAGTCATTAGCATGTTTACAAAGGACCTGATGGAAATCTTTCCTTCTCAATAGGTGATACTAATTACAGGGATTGGAACTACTGAACTATACCTTTTCCAGTTCCAATCTAGCATTTCAAAACTTATGTGAATAAAATTTGTTTTGAACTAAGACATGTAGGGGTTGATTCTCAGAATGTCCCAAAAGCCTTAGGGCAGTATTAAGCTTTAAATAGCTGAAACTGATCTTTCATTGGCTAAAACTGCCCTAAGGCTTTGACACCCTGTTTTATTTCATTTTATGAATGTAGAAATTCAAGCAGTAATAGGTTGTTGTTGGTTATGTTTTTTAGGGGGTTTTGGTGGAGGACTGTTTCTGGACATGATAAAACAGCAAATGCGGTCTTCCAAGGGTCTACAACTCAGAACTAGTTGAGCCATATTTCACATAGAATGCACTCAGTTCTCTCAAGTAATATGCTATAGTATATTTATTCAAATAAAACAGTGTATTTAATCTGTGTCTTTGCAGATATTCCATTGACAGAAGCAGTGACCCTGGAAGATTCTTCTATGTTGACATTACAACAGGTGCCCTAATGACTGCAAGACCCCTTGATCGGGAGGAGTTTTCTTGGCATAATATCACTGTCCTTGCTATGGAAATGAGTAAGTAACACAATAAACTGGTCTCCATAACATGACAAAATATAAGCATTGTAGAATGTGAAAGCTTCTAGAGCTTGTTATATTCTTTATGTGAAGAAATTATGGTTTATGCAAGTGAATGCATTCAGTTCAAATACTTACTATCTCCTATATACCTAGTTCTGTGCTAGAGATTAAAAAAAAACAAACAAACACTATGCAAAAGCAGTACAAAAAATAGCACCCTTAAATCAAGAAGCTAGACTTCTATATGAGGAAAGGGACAATTCCTGAGAAATCTAAGAGGTTTTCAATCTTTAATAAGCTTGGGAATGCGAATAGTATTGTCAGGGAGCCAAGAATTCCTCTCCCCTTCAAGGGTCCTTCTAGCTGGACTAAGAATCAAATTGACATGAGACAGATTAACAAAAGAAAATCAAATTTAACATGCATACATATGGGGAATGCACACAGACATAAAAATTCCAAAGACAGACAAATGAGGTATATATGTCATTCTGAACTATGAAGAAGGGGGTAGGAGTTTGGGATTTCAAAGGAAAGGAATGCATTTCATAGGACGATAAGAGCAGATATTTGGTAATCAGAGGTTTGCCCTACTGTACAGATGGGTCACTCAGATAAAATTTATCTGTTAATAACCCTTATTCTGGGGGAAAAAACTCAATTTAGATTTTTCTGTGTGGGTTAAGGGAGTGACAAAAGTTTCTCTTGAACCCTCAGGGCCTCAAGTGCCTTCAGCTCAAAATAATCCACATGCCAAAGTGGCACTTGGGGGCAGGGGGGAGCTGTCCTGAACCCCTTCAGTATAAGATATTATTACTGGATGAAAGAAAACATTTATAACATATCACCCCTACCACACACATACATACACAGAAACATGCATACAAAATTTTGAGATATCTAACACTAAAAAGCAGATTTATGAACATAAACTTAAAAACAGAATGAAAAACTACTAAAAACTAGATTAGCATATTTACTACAAACTTTACGAAAATTAGATTATTTACTACTACATTCAATTTTTTTTTCATAACACTTAGTGATGGTAAAGTTTCAGGGAAATGCAGACCCTAATGTACTGGCAGAACTATGTACAATCATTCGGGGAGAGGGGGGCAATTAGGCAATTAAGCTTTTGTATTAAGATTCTCCAAAATATTCATAGTCTTTTTCCCAAGAGTTCTACTTCTAATAACTATCTTAAGGAAATAATCATAGATATCAACAAAGATCCATGTGCCAAAATGTCTACTGCAGTGTTATTTTAACATAGGGGAAAAAATGGGAATTACCTAAAAGTCTAATAATAGGGGTCTGCCTAAGTAAACTGTGGTACAACCATACAATAAAATGAGACAATCAGATATTAATATACATGTTTTCAAAGTATATTTCAATGACACAGGATAATATTGCCCTAAAAGTTTTAAATCCAACTTTTTAATTTTGCTTAATTGCAGTGTATGTGTGTGTGTCTCCATATTTTTGTACACATGTAATATTACATATATTATATAATGGATATCTCTGGGGGTAGGATTAGAGATCATATGTACCCTGACATTTTGGGGGGATTTTCATTATTCCTTCTATAAACTAGTACCACGGTTATAATGGGAAAAAAAATTTAAATAGGTCAGTACTTTTGATAACCAGGCAACAGAAATATTTAAGTGGATAACATAGGAGAGCATAGATACTTTGGGGAAAGAAAAGAAAAAATAAATCAGAATAATAAGACATTCTGAGATTTTATAAAATTTTTTACTAAGAATAATCTGTATCTTTTAATTTCTATTTTATCTTCTTGGGATGTGGCCAAAACAAAAAAGGACAGGAGGGGCACTCCTGGGGCTGTGAAATTGTCCTTGTGTGGCAATGCCAAGCAAAAGACAGACCAAAAGACACATTTTCCCATGAGTGACTATGAATAATTTCTCCTGCCCCAGCCAAAGATATAGATTTGGTGTGTGTTTGATCCTGTAATAACCCCTTAGTCCCTAAGCAGAAATAAATGTGCAGTGTTATCTGTATTCCCGGGAATAACTTGAAACCTTCTGAAATATAACTCAAAGAACTGATTATTCCACAAGAATAAAGCCAAGCAATGCCACACAGTATGCATCCAGTTAGAAATGGGCTGTTTTCAAACCCAGAATACGGAACTGACCTGTCTTAACTTCAGAACCTAAAGCGGGAGCCAAGTGAGAGATTCAAACCTTTTTTTTTTTTTTTAAAGATTTTATTTATTTATTTGAGAGAGCGAGAATGAGAGAGAGAGAGAGAGAGAGCACATGAGAGGGGGGAGGGTCAGAGGGAGAAGCAGACTCCCTGCCGAGCAGGGAGCCCGATGCGGGACTCGATCCTGGGACTCCAGGATCAAGACCTGAGCCGAAGGCAGTCGCTTAACCAACTGAGCCACCCAGGCACCCCAGATTCAAACCTTTTTAAGCTGCATTGTATGATACCTGCCCCCCCCACCCACCTCAGTCATACTCTTCTCTTCAACCTCCTGATTATCACACACTCTCTCAGACACACACTGCAGTCCGCCCACGCATCTTGTGTTCTGACCGCACTCTTACTAGGCAGCACATGCATCCTATGTTTCTCTTGCCATTTCCAAGTTCTTTATCCATTCCTTTAAAAAACCAAACTGACAAGGTAAATATCTTTTCCAGCAAAGAGCTGCTTTCCCGTACTACTGAACCCTCACCTTTTGGTTTTCTCTGTGTTCTCTTTAGACAATCCTTCCCAGGTTGGAAGTGTTTCCGTCACAATCAAAGTCTTAGATGTGAATGACAATGCTCCAGAATTCCCCAGATTCTATGAAGCTTTTGTGTGTGAAAATGCCAAAGCAGGGCAGGTAAGGCAGTCTGTGAGATGTGCACGTTGGTTCACCTCCAACATACAGAAATGACTGCTACAGATAACCAAATTTACCATCAAAGAAATTTAGAATATAGAAACTAACAGCTCACGAAAGGGTCCCCGACTTCCATGCATCATGTTGCAACAGTTTGTTAGGACAAGCATGTTGAGTCCCCATTACATTTTATGATCTCAACAATGCTTTGATGGTAGCTTGATTCACAGGCTGGCATGAAGTTATCTACCCATCTTGTAACTAAACTGTATATAGTACCAACTGCAGTAATATGTGCTCTGGGTCCTAGGAGCGAGGGACCATGAAGATCAGAAAACTCTTTTTTAGCACTAATACCTGAAAATACTTGCAGTAGGGAGGCTTTATTTTTTGTATCTTCCCATCTCCCTTTCTTAACTTCTGACAACAGGTAACTTGTTTAGGGACTACCTGCCCTATTCTCAGAATGCTTTGTTAACCTAGAATACCTACTATCCCCTCCCTCAATTAAAACACCATTTTCATAATGTTGCTCATGTCAGGTCAATTTTGAGAAGAAAGGAATCTGTAGACACAAATTTCTACTAATTTGAAATAGCCACAGTTCTATAATCTGCAAAGACGTATTTGTGTATTTTTTAAAGTATGCTTTTAAATGTAAATGAATAATTTGGTTGATCAAATTCCAAGTGGTATAACTGAGAAACATCCAGAACTCTGCTTGGAGTGGCCATGTATTCATGCATGCTTTGGGCTGCTGCGCACCCTGTGCCCACCCTTCCATACCTCAGAGCATACGCCATGTCCTGTTTCTGCTCCTGCTTTTGTAAGATGCTTTCTTCTCTGCCTGTGACCCAAAAGATCCCCTAACAGTCCTAATTTCTTCCCTCAAAGTATATTCTGTGGTCCTGTGGATTCTGGTGATAAGGCAAATGGGTCAGGATAGTTTTAATATGAAAGTTATGAGTCTGTGAAGTGCATATCTATAACGCAAGGATTCATGCTTTGGTAATTCAGGCAGATTTTGCTTTCACTTCTCTTACTCAACTGGAACATGACATCTTGCTGCACAGAGACTAGTTTATACAATCAAAGCTTGTATTAGCATCCTGTATTCACCAAAGATTAAGTCAACACATCTTCACCCTTCTAACTCAGTCAAAAGAAAAAGTGATTCACATCTGCCACAGGGGAAAAAAAATGTCCTATAATGACTCTCATCTCCATCCTCTCATCCATGGATTTTTGAAACTCAGTGCAATGGTCTATAGCACTCCCAAAAATTTTTTCAACAAGTCTGGAATAATTCTACTTCCACATCTATTGAATTTCTAGGAAGACCTGAAACATGCAGCTAATAAAAGTTACAACGCTGACTTTATGGTGTAAGAAATGATCTGTGTTATTATAAGTAAAGAAAGAAGGTATAAAAATTACATGTACATGCTTGCAGTTACATAAAATTATGCCTACATGTGAACTAAGACATACGGGGGATAGGATGCAAAAACAGCAATAGTTACTGTGCTATGGTAGTTGAGTTTTGAGTGAGGGGTTTGGACCTTTATTTTAATAATGTTTGTTTTATATTATAACAATTGCATATATATTACATAAAGTATAACAATATTTTGTAAGATCTTATTATAATATATATGATGAAGCTAATAATTATTAATCTACATTATAAAGAAGGTGATAAGCAACACATTAATTAAAGCTCCTCCCCCCCAGAAAATGAAGCACTTACTTTCTTAAAGGTCTTCAGAGTAGAAGTTGCATTCCGACAGGTGAATAGCACTTTAACTACCAATCTTGGGTTTGGGTGTGTGTGTGTGCGCGCGTGTGTGTGTGTGTTCAGAATTTATTTATTTATTATTTAGAAAGAGAGGGCAGCTAGCGCATGTGAGTGGGAGGAGGGGGTGAGGGTGAGAAAGAATTCTCAAGGCGACCCCCCACTGAGCACAAAGCCTAATGCAGGGCTCAATCTCATGACCCGAAGATCATGACCTGAGCCAAAACCAAGAATCAGACACTCAACCAACTGAGCCACCCAGTCACCCCTAAATACCTCTCTTGTTTTGGGAGCACACACACACATCTCCCATTTCTACATTTCTAAATACATCTTTTTTTTTTTTTTAGATTTTATTCATTCAAGAGAAACAGAGCATGAGCGTACGGGGGGGGGGGGGCAGGAGGAAGGAAGCAGAAGGGGAGGGAAAGGGACACGCAGACTCTGCACTGAGAGCAGAGCCCAACACGGGGCTTGAACCCAAGACCACAAGATTGAGTCTGATGCTTAACCGACTGAGCCACCCAGGTGCCTCTCTAATTACACCTGTTAATGGCTTATCAGGCAGTTCTTTGAAGCACAGTTTACTTGTGACTTAAAGTTCAGGTCAAGCGCCCCAAGTCTGTCACATTTATCATCTTTAGCCCAAGATACTAAAAATCCTACCCCTTGATTTTGGCTCTGGGATATGTTTTAAAGATTTTCAAAAGCACACAGCTCAGTAGGCATGTCTGGTGTATAACGCATCAGGCCTCCTTGTGTCAAGACATGTCAGATCCTGTCGTCAGCTGTGTGTCTGCCAAGTTGGGATATGTGCTTTCCTCCTAGCAAGCAGCCACGAAGGAGGCCCATAACGAAATCAGATGACATACCTGGCAATGGCTGAAAGCAGAATGAAACTAGCTGAGTAGAATATTGCATGGCAAGTGGGACTGACAAGGATATCTGACCTGCCAGGAGAGTGCAGGGCAGGAGAGCAGTCCATTGTGTTCCCAACTGCTGCAACCAAATTTGCCATCAAAAAAATTCAGACCCCAGAAACTAACCCAGCAAGGCAGTGTCTTTGCTCACTCATTCTTTAAAAGTCCTGTAACCAACCAGTCCTATGCCTCAAGCCCCCATCTCACCAGTATGTATGTGATTTCACAGGTCAGATATTCTGAAATGACTTCGCCAACTATGATTGCCTCATTATACATAATCACCTATTTATAACATTCATCAAGAAATATGTTTTGTCAGGGCGCCTGGGTGGCTCAGTCAGTTAAGCATCTGCCTTCAGCTCAGGTCATGATCCCAGGGTCCTGGGACTGAGCCCCACACCGGGCTCCCTGCTGAGTGGGGAGCCTGCTTCTCCCTCTCCCTCTGCCTGCTGCTCCCCTTGCTTATGCTCTCGCTCCAGCTCTCTGTTAAATAAATAAAATCTTTTTTAAAAAATTAAAAAAAAAAATGTTTTGTCTTTACGTGTGTGGCACTATGGGCAAGACAGAAAGTATAGGACTTGTCTCAGCAGGGATGGGGTGGTAGGGTGGCCCTCATGTGTGAGTAGTGCCGACACTAGGGTAGGCTGGGGGACAAGTTCATCTTCAGTGTTCTACCAACCCTTCTCCTTTATGCAACTCCATTCTCCCAGCTTTTAGATTCAACAGAGGCAGCTACCAGCTGGGTTCACCAGGAGGCGCACCCAGAGGTGGAGTTCTGGCATAAGATGTTTATTAAGGAATGCCCTTGGGACCCAATGCCTGTAGAAGAGAAGGACTTTTGCAGGACTAAGTAAAATGAGAAGTCCAGCCATGATGCAGACCCACTAACAAGCCTTGGATGACGTCAGAGAGCTCTAGAACTAGGGTTTCCCCAAGTTAAGATGGGATGGCCAGGCCTTTATACATCAGTCACTGGATGTGGGTTGCCCTAGAAGGATGTGGTAAGTATGGGTAGGTACCTCTCAGCAAATGAGGCAATACTCAAAGAGATGAGTAAAGGTTGGGGCATCAAGTCCTTCACAGAACGGGGATCTGAGCAACACAGTGTCCACCAGAAGGCCCCTAGCTGGGAGCCTCCCTCTCTGTTATTTAACCTTCGGTATACTGAGGGGTAGCATTACCTCCCTTAATTTACAGGTGAAGCCATAAAGACTAAGCAAGCCCACCTGGGCCCTCCAGCTGACCCCCTGATGTCCTGGCAGGAATGTCAAGTCTACAGGGCCAGGTCCAAGAGGGGTAGGAGGTGTCTGTGCTATTGGTTGGTAGAGGAGGAAACACATAGGAAGGTGACCACCCACTCAACACTTTTTCTATATCCCTCGCAGCCGGCCTGCTAATTTTTCAAATTGTGTATTTTGCACTGCTTTCTTTAGCAGTTTTTTTTTTTTTTTTTTTGAGAGAGAGAGAAAACACACACGCGTGCAGGAGTGGGGCAGAGAGGGAGAGAGAGAGAATCTTAAGCAGGCACCATACTCAGCGTGGAGCCCAACATGGGGCTCTCCTATCTCACGACCCTGAGATCATGACCTGAGCTGAAATCAAGAGTCAGGACACTTAACCCACTGAGCCACCCAGGTGCCCCTTTAGCAGCTTTTTTTATCATGGCCTTCATAACCCTCATGGCAAACTACTACTTTTAAAAGCTCTGTGGAAAAGGCAAAGTTTGGGCCAAAGAGCTCAAGAGAAAGCCATCCCTTCTTTTTTCCTCCTAAACCCCAAGCTCTGCTTCTGACTCTAATCTGTTCCATATATCCCACCTCAGGTCTTGGGCTCTACACCTTTCCTAGCTCCCCTTCCAGGCAACAGAAAGCAACAGCCTGTGACTCAACCCCTTCCATCTGTGTTCCATTAACCTCACACAGTAGATGTTGATGTATCTATCTCTCTTCTAGGTATTGGTCATTTTTAAAAAGAGGCTTCTCAAAGATAGCAAATTGACCCTGAAAATATTAACCCAAATGATGAGGTTAAGTGGCTGAGGTGAGAGAAGGAAAAACTGCGAGACAAGCAGGACCTTGTGGCATCCCACAGTTCTTTTAGCCAATCTTCTATTTACGTTGCTTAAAAATGACTGGTGTTGGTATGGGAATTTGTTATGTTGAGGCTTAACCCCTGAGGTATTCAGGTAACATTCACCATGTGCCTGTCAAGGTACTGAGGCCCAGCAATAAAGACCAAAGTTCAATCCTGAGTTGTGTGATGGCACGGTACTTTCCAGTAAGTTTCAGAATGTCCTTCTCATTAGGGAAAACAATCCATTATTGGATCTCAGGGTTTAGGATCTCACCAGGCCCTGATGATTTTTCTTTCAACTCTGATTCACATGAGTTCATGTCACTCCCACAGCTGATCCAGACAGTGAGTGCAGTGGACCAAGATGACCCACACAGTGGTCAGCACTTCTACTACAGCTTGGCTCCGGAGGCTGCTAACAACCCCAACTTCACCGTTAGGGACAACCAAGGTAATCAGGTGGATAGGTGACTACCAATGCTTTCCTATAGCTTGGGCCAGATAATTTTGGTTACTACACCATGCAAACAGTATCAAAGGTCACCTGCTCTTTAGTAGCAGTGAAGACATTAATGCTAATTTGTAATGTCTTTAAAAGTTTTGTTTCAACAGATCGAAGACAAAGAATGTCCTCTGCTGATTCTGAAACTTTCAGTTAATCAGTTCACAAATGCTTTGGAGTTGGCTCTGTATGAGACGGCGTGCCAGGCACACAGGCAAAAGCCTTCCTTCATTCCCACAGATAACAGCCATGCCTGTATGCTCTATAACTATCGGAAGAATCTGAGAAAAATGATAGAAATTGAACTAGATAAAGAGAAAAACCTGAGGGAACATTTCTGAGCAAGCATCAAAGGGGGTAACAGTGAAAAGCTCCCAGAACAAAAGGGAGAGAAAGGCTACAATGACAAAGGACAAACATAGGATCACAAAGTGTAGCTTTGGCACTGAAACAACTTTATCACTTTAGAATGATTTTAAAAAGACAGAGCCAGGTGGGGTTCCCTATTCCAGAAAGCACTCCCCACTACCACTTCGCTGGAATGGAATTCTAGACCCCTCTTTTCCAATAAGCATTCTGATTGGCTAAGAAATGTATAGACCTAGCATACTCTTCATTGGGCAGAGATGGGAAAAGGAGGGACTTCTCTCATCAAATTATTTTCAAAGAAAGATCAGAAAAAAAATCATTTAAATCTGCCAAGTGAACCCCCCCTCTGTTGCTAACTCTGCTACTTGCTGTCCGACCTTGGGGAGAGAGGCCGTCACTCCGATGGTCTCTACTGGCCTCATTCTTATTCCAATTCTAAAATACGAATTGTCACTGTGTAACTATCTAAACAAAGGGTAACAATGTCATGATTAGGCCTGCCCGGTCTTAGTCTCAAACATCAATTATTTGAGACTTAAAGTATTAATTTCACCCCACATGATATCCTGCCATTAACACTTGAGACTACTAAACCTGTTTTCTTTTAAATGGAAAACATTCCTCCAAGTCTTTCCTTTAACCTCCTACATGTTACCATAAAATCACTCTGATAATTCTAGAAGGGAGGGTAATATAAATCATAACAACAGAAGTACTACAATTAAACATCCCGATCTTTTTATTGGGTCAAATTTTGAACTATTCCTTTATCTGCTTCACAGGGAAATCCTTCCTACAAAAAGTGGTTTCAGCCCCCTCAGGAAACCAGGGGTGCAGGGGGTTGGGGGGATAATACATTATACTGTTTCTTCAAATTTTCAGTCAAGTGTCACTCTACTCCTTCACTCTGATATTTGTCAGAATCAACACAGAAACAATATGCAGCAAAATGCTGCAAATTTATTAAAGATGACTTTGGACACCAATTCATGGAGCCAATGCTTTAAAAAGATGGGCCACTGGAACATGATACTATAAAAAGAAATGACTCATTTCTGGGAAGGTTTTCCAAAACGAAAGTCAGCACATCTTCAACAGAAGAATGAACTCTTAATCTCCTCATGACAATTTATCCCATGAGTATTTTCTACGGAGGCTCATTAAAAAATTGACCAACATCTGATTTGGTGGATCTACTGTCAGGACCCCAACTCCCATGCCCAAAACATGATATCCTTTTATGAACACAACAAGGCACTATCTCAAGCAGAGTGTTTCTTACTTTTTTTTTCCTAATTCCTGAAGCATTATTAAAAGGATTGTGTGTATATAAGCATTTTGCAGTTTCAAACACATTTTCCCATACTTTGCTTTATTTGATATTTATAATAACCCTCTAAGGTTTTGAGGAAGTTACTAATCCCTCTGATTCTCACTGCCTCGCTTAATAAATAAGGAAAGAAAGCAAATGGCCCACAATCAGAAAGTGAGCAAGCATTAAGGCTGCTGGGACTAGAAGATGAAGCCTGTTTTAGCCACACACACACACACACACACACACACACACACACACACACAGAAAGAAGTTTTGTCTTACCTTGGAAACAAATATTGTTTCCAAATAGGAAGCCCTACTGATCATATTCAACAAAAACTCTGCAAGTGGCTACTCTGCAAGTGGCCAGAATCCTTCTAAGAAGAAATTCAACAAGGCGATGCTCTGATCTTTTTTCTTTTTCTTTAACCTTAAATAATTCTGAGATCAAGAAACATGATGTAATACTTTTATGCAATTCAGCTCTGGTCAAGCTTTCTAAGTCTTACAACCTAGCCTCAATTACACTGAAAAATACAAAATAACAGATTGCTGTTTGAGAAAAACTTGGTTTCTGGAAAAACAAAATTAACACTGTGGAACAGAATTAATAGCACTTAGCTAAATCTGGAAAAACAGAAAAACAGGTGGGTCGCACAGTAGTATTAATATAATCCTCAGGTTGGCAACCAGTTGCTATCTTCCTCCACAGAGAAGCAAATACAAGAAGAAAGGGGCCTGTACCAAAGCAAGAAAGGATTTCCATTGGCTGGATAATTTTCAAGAGTTAATATCACTACACCAAATAAGCAGTTTACACAGCAAAATGGAAGAAATGTATACTTGGGAGTCAGAGAGACCAGAGTTCAAATCTCAGCTCTGCTACTAAGTTAGTAATTTTGAACAAATTATATCATTTCTCTAGGGCTTAACTTACCCCCTGTAAAAGGGTCAGATTATCACTATCTCATCAAATGTGAAAATTAAATGAGCTGCTGTGCATATAAGCACTCAGTAAACAGTCACTGCTAATTGTGAAAAGGCAGGGCAAGGAGAAAGTGGAAAAGTGAATGAAGGGATAACGTATTCATCAGAATAGGCTAGCCGATGCTGCAAGCCGATGCTGCAGGACAAATGACTCCAAAATTCCAGTGGCTTAACACACCTAAAATAAATTTCTTGCTCACATAAAACCAACCGCGGGTCTGAGCAACAAGGACAGCTGGTGTCCATGTAGCTGAGTGTCCCAGGCTGCCTGGCTCTCCATCTTAAACGTTCTTGTACAGTATCACACCAAGGCACGAGAACACAGAGAAACACATACCAGCTGTTCCATGCTTCTGCCTGAAGTGACACAAATCGCTTTTGCTCATTTTTCATTATGAAAAGCAAATCATACAGACACGCCAAAATTCAAGAGGGTAGAAAAGTATAATCCTTTATTATGTCCAAGAAGGGAAGGAGAACCAGAAATACTGATAATTAATAATGTTTACTTTGGTTAGGCTCTCAGAAGTTTTTGTGAAGTTCTAGACTCTTCCTTGTGAAATGTAAACCACATCCAGAGGACCTTCCATGTTGATGTTAGCTCTGAGAGTCACTGCTTGCATGTCCTATCACATCTCTCAACCTTTTCCTCTATTGAAAATGATCTGAACTTTGCAAAAAATATGACACATAATTCAAACCCACTGGAAGAAATCTGAAAACACAAATTAAAAAAATAAAAGATCCCAGAACATTACATTAGGCAGACATAAATATAAATACACACATACACACATACACACACACACACACACACACCCCACCTTTGTGGAAACACATCAAATAATTTTGCTACTCCTCTTTAAAGCTGGAGGGGAAAAAAAAACTAGTATTGCTGATCAGGAATGAATTTCTACAAGTTCTTACTGTGTCACCTCAGACCACAAGTAGGGGGAAGTAACAGGGTGTATCACGTGATTAGGGGATTTCAAATAAGCTTCTGCTAAATGAGCAGGTTCTTCAGAAAGCACAGTAGTTGGTGACCGAGTTTGAGAGGAATAAAAGAAAACAGCAAAAGCCGTGAATTCCAGCCAAAGTGGCAAAAAAAAAAGCAATCTGCCACAAGTGGGCTCCTCAGCATTCTTTTCCTGGAGGCACAAAGCAGCCCCAGGGCCTTGGAAAGCTGATGAGGGGGGAGGGGGGGACACAAACAGGGACCACAAGTGGCCAGTGATTGTTCATTCCTATCAAGCTCTCACAAGAACATTTCAGTTAGATCTGAAGTCTAACAGTTCGCCCTGGGCACTTTATGTCACAAAGGGTAAAAGAGACTCTCAAAAAGGGTTTCTCTCCTACCCTCAGGGTTTTGCCTAGAAGCGAGCAAAAATCAAAAATCCATGGTTTCTGAATTCAAATGCTGGTCCAGACAAAGCAGAGGTGGCTGAAGCTGACTGCCTCCAGGGAACGTTTGCCGCTCCCTCTCTGTCCTTCCCACCTCCCATCCCTGCCCTCCTGCTCTCCTCAATCCAAGAAATTAATTCACTTGTGGGTTCTTCCATTGTCTTCTTCCCTCCCACTTTTCCTCTCCCTTTTTTCAACCCTGGAATCCCTGTCTTCTTCAGATAACACTGCTCGGATTCTCACCAGGAGGTCTGGCTTCCGGCAGCAGGAGCAGAGTGTCTTTCACCTGCCCATCCTGATAGCAGACAGCGGGCAGCCGGTGCTGAGCAGCACGGGCACGCTGACCATCCAGGTGTGCAGCTGTGACGACTTCGGCCACGTCCTCTCCTGCAGCCCTGAGGCCTACATGCTCCCCGTCAGCTTGAGCCGGGGCGCTCTCATCGCCATCCTGGCCTGCATCTTTGTCCTCTTAGGTGAGCAGGTGCCTCTGTTCTCTTCTGTGGGGTCCCACAAGTGCTTACTCAGCTACCATTCTAACACTGCTCAGAACTGGTTTTCTACACCATGCTTATCGAAAAGGTGGTAGAGTAAGGCGGGGAAAGAATAAAGAAACTGAAGATAGTCCCTTCCTTCAAGGAACTCATGGCCTCTTTGGCCAGACCAAAGCAAATACATTTATCAAGCATCTACTATGGGCCGGGGTACCATTCGAGGTGCTGGGATTAATAAGACAGACACGACCCAGCCTTCACGAAGCTTACTTCAAGCAAAGCAAGTTCATTTTGACACCACAGAATCAACATGACAATTTGGGGAGGATATGATAAACACCTCTTCTAATCCCTTCATTTCAGATTAAGTAGTAGCTAAATCACAAAGAGAGAGTGACAGGCCCAAAGCCAAGTGTCAGAGGCAGAGCCAGAAGTGAAATGCAGGCCGACCCTACAGTGTGCATCCCTGTATCTGAGCGGTAAGGCTCTCTTCCTAAAGGTTCATCCTCCAAATTCTGGAGGTGGTAGGTGTTACAGAGACGAGAAGAAGGATACCCTTATCCCGAAGGGACAGGAGACAAGGGTAGGTGCCATTTTAAACAAGGTGGTCAGGGAAGGCTTCCCTGATGAGACCTTTGAGCAGAGACCTGAAAGAAGTGACAGAGTGAACCCCGTGGCTATCTGGGAGAATAAGCTATTTGGGGGCATTAGCACCCCTCCGAGGCCCTGTGGCCATCTAACAAGGAGCAGTGACTACACAGGGCCGGTGTGCTGCTGCTGGTGACATAAAAAGATGTGCTGACAGGCTGGTGGGAGAGCATTAGTGAGGGAAAAGATCCTTTAGTCCTCTGCTCAAATCATACAACAAGGCAGCCACCCACCTCCCTTGTACATAAGGCTATTCGAGCAATCGTTTTTGAACTCAACACTCAAAAACAAACAACAAAACACCTAAACTAACTCTGGAAACCACCAAAAATATCTGTACACATATCCCAACTCTTCTGATTGAATTCATTCATTGCACACATATTTTGCTTAGAAAAAAAGCAGACTTAGATAATAATATCATTCAATATGAAAGAAATCCTAGCATTCTATGAAGGAAAAGAATACAGCCCTGGGGATTTAAATTAGAATAGACATGCAGATATCCACAGAACCCCTTGATCCCAGGTTTACCTATGCACCAGGAGACTGAGTCAGACCAAAGAAAGAAAGGTCCTGACTGCAAAATGTCAGCACTTGACTGAATTTCTAGGTAGGTCTGTAAAATATGCCTTTCAAAAAATATTTACAAATACCACATGTGGTTTGATTTTGTTGTTTTAGTTCAATGCTGTATGAAGAGAGAAGTAAATATAAACAAGCAACTTTTCTAAATCCTCAGATCCCTGGACCAGAGAATCGTTAGGCTTTCTGGTCCCGGTCTTCAAACACCCTCCTGCAATTCCCGGAATGTCCATAAGATGGCGTCGGGGGTCCTTGAGTGCAAAACAGGGTATAAACTACAAGTGGCCTCTAAAGAAACTAGCTCCTTGGAGAAATTTCCAGCCTGGCTGTTCCTACTTCTATCTTTGGAAAATGTCTACATTATAAGTTCACCCTTGCCCATAAAGAGTAGAAAAAGCCATCGTTACAGAAAGATTGATTTAAAAAGACTGGCACAGAGAGGCTCTCACACTAGAAATGGTGTGCAAGGGGCAATTTATATTGTGCCTCCCAAACCCCTTATGTCTTATCTTTTGAATTGCACAGAATAAATAGACGGTTTTCAGGAGCTAAACCGAGCAGAGCTTTATATGCAACTTTATATAAAATCCTCATAGTTTTAGGCTCTCTTATTTCTAAGAATGCACATCCTAAATAAAATATAATTCACAAAACTGAGTAAGATTGAATTACAGCTGATTCGCCAACAAAATACATTTTGTGGACAATTAAATAAACATACTAATTTTGACTTTATAGGGTTTTTTTTTCATGTCTCTAGTATATATCTAGTTCCTAGAAAATCTCATAGGCCCTATGAACTGTGTCCGTAATACCTAAAGAACAAACATCCCTAGAACGGATTCTCTTCGTCAGGGAAGACTTTCAGTTGAATAGGACCACGTTTCCCAGAATCTGATTTTCAGGGCATTACCCAATACTTGTTATTTAAATCAGATTATCTAAAAAATAAGATATTTGTAAGATAAATGTAAGATGGACCAGTTCTATAAACTGCCTAATTCTCTATCATCAGAATTCTTTCCAGCAGATATCCAAAGACTTTTCTAATTTTGCTTCATAGCATTTTCTTAAATACCACCCCTACCATTCCAATATCATCTGTGTGAAGGTTTTTCAGTCCCCTAGGAGGAATTACCCAGCCCTGCCTCTGTATTCTCTTTGCAACACTTATAACCCTAGGATAGCCCTTATCACTGCCTGACTTGTAGTAATCATCAGTGTCTATAATCTCCTTAGATTACAAGTTTATAACACCAAAACTCATGTCATATTCAATGTTGTTTCTCTATTGTTTTGCATAGTGCCTAAAAATATTTGAGTTTAGTAACTGTTTACCGAACCCCACAAACACAGCATGTTCACTTAAAATCCCATTTGTCCAGCCTGCATCCATCCATATCACACCCCAGCCTCCCACACCCAGTTTAAGCTCCCACTTCCTTAGAGCCCTATTAGTCCACTTCTCTGAAATCCCACAATCAGGCAGTCCATGGGTCGGATTTTGGCACACAGAGAAAATATACGAGAGTATGTAACTGTTTCCTGTGTGTGCATTTTGTCACCCAAGCTATTTGGGAAAATACTAGGTATTAACATCATTAACTGCAATTTACAAAAAGCACATTCTACATTCAAATTTTTTAAATCATTACTGTGAATTTTTTAAGTCAGTTCATAATTTTACTAGGCTTAAGACTGAACTCCATTTTTGTCCCCCTTGGTAAACTGCAGTTTCACTTTTAGTGTTGTCGAGTTGTTACTGTTCACTAGGTGTAACAAAGCACATCAGGAAAAAAAAAAAAAATCAATAGCAGTTCTACAGCTAAAACCTCAACACACTTCCTGGAAAACATTTTCAGTCACAGAGATAAACAGTTCAACGGGATTATCTCTATCTCTCCTTTAAACCCCAGTGAACACATCCTGGGAAAAAAAAATACATTTGTTGGGATAAAATTTTATCCAAACCTGCAAGGGCACGTCTAACCGTCTGGTGCTTCTCTGATAACATGATGAATCACATAAAATGTCCCTGCTCATTCCCTCCCTTCCATGAACATCACTGGATCCAGAGAGTCACAACCACCTAACAGAAGGCTTTCTGAGGAATCGGAGTCTATTGGGAAACAGCGATCACTTATACACGCTTGTTTTTTGAAAGAGGTATAAAAAGATTAAGACTCTGACTCACACTTAGCCTATGTGTCTCTATGCGTACGTGTTAATATGTGGTTATATTTACAGAGCGGAATCCTACTAAGAGACTAATGTAAAAAAAAAAAAAGTAGGATTCCACCCATGTAACACGATTTCCACATTATCAGAAAGGTATACTCGTCCTCCTGTGGTCAGAAGACATTGTCTGATCCTCAGCGTAGACTCCAGGGCGGGCCGTAGTGCTGTGTGCTGAGCTAAATGGGATTTCATTCCGGGGTGTCTGGGCGGGTGTACACAGACACCCACGCAACTTTAAAGCAGCCAGCTGAGGCAAAGAGACTTTTTATGCAACCTCTTCTAACTGAACCACCTGGAAAAAAATACAGGGCTTCATTTGCCTCCATCTGGCCGCACAGGAGTAAGCGCCAGGTAGACCCTGTGGTTTAAAATGTCCAAATGCCGTCTCTGAGCTCAGCCCCCAACTCTTCGCGTACCTGCGGTTAAGCAGAGCTCCTTCAAGTCAGGGCACACACAGCCAGGTCTCGCGGGTAAAGATCCGGTCTTTGTTTCCGGCAGTGCTCGTGCTGCTCATTCTGTCCCTGAGGCGGCACCGGAAGCAGCCGTACATCATTGACGACGAGGAGAACATCCATGAGAACATCGTCCGCTACGATGACGAGGGCGGCGGCGAGGAGGACACCGAGGCCTTTGACATCGCGGCCATGTGGAACCCCCGGGAGGCGCAGGGGGGAGGCGCCCCCAAGACGCGGCAGGACATGCTGCCCGAGATTGAGAGCCTCTCCCGCTACGTGCCTCAGACGTGCGCCGTGAACAGCACGGTCCACAGCTACGTGCTGGCCAAGCTCTACGAGGCCGACACGGACCTGTGGGCCCCGCCCTTCGACTCCCTGCAGACGTACATGTTCGAGGGGGACGGCTCCGTGGCCGGGTCGCTGAGCTCCCTGCAGTCGGCCACGTCGGACTCGGAGCAAAGCTTCGACTTCTTGACGGACTGGGGGCCCCGCTTCCGGAAGCTGGCGGAGCTCTACGGGGCGTCGGAGGGGCCCGCGCCCCTGTGGTGACGGAAGCCGGGAAGCAGGCGCGCGTCCAAACCCAGACGTTCTGGGCGGACGCTCGCCAGGCTCGCGGACGGTGCCGCCGAGCACGTGAGCAACACTGTGCTGGAGAGTGGGAAGGGGGTGAGCGGCGGAGAGAGCTCTCTCGGGATCAGCTTTACTTGGTTACCTTAAGTTAAGTAACCAAAAGGAAACGCAGGAAGAGGGGGGCAGACACTCCACTTACCTTTCTTTCCTTTTTCCGTTTTCATTTTTGTGACACTGTATTCAAGGGCTCGGGAAGTTATGGCGAGCTTGGCTTTTCTCCCCCGTTCGCCAAGGCCTTTGTCACTTTGTCACTTCGCCACCACTGAAGAGTTTCTGGTCTTACATACACGGGTGGCAACCGAAGGGAAGTTTGACTCTCGTGTCCTTTTTCGTTTTTCCTCCCCTTTTTTTTTTCTCTCCATTTAAGTGTTTTGCTGGCTCATCCAACCGCACAACCAACCCCCACAAAAGAACACTGAAAAGTTGTTACTCTGTGAAATTAACCTACTTGTCCTGGGATGGATGGAATTTCTTTTAACCCTTTTGAGGCAAGGTTAAGGCGAATCGGCCTTGCATGACTGGGGGGTGGGGGTGGGAGAAGGAAGAGGCATTGACTTTGTGCTCAAGTTTAATGGCTGAACCAAGAGTCGTTGGCATTACAACGAATCCAACTCCATCAAGTTAGAGTGCTCTGTTCTCTTGGCTCTTTAACTGCGCCCCTGCAAAATTGTTCAGAACGAAACCAGAAAATCTGCCTCTTTTGCACTGTAGATGTCTCTTCCATGTGCCAAATGTGAAGATTAGATGCTACAAATGAAAGCCAAATAAAAAGAAGTATCTGATAAAAGCCTGCGTTAGAGGGCTTTCCTAATCTGTGTGAGGTCAATCCAAGGGATGTTTACATACTGTAGATAACCTACTTGAACAAAAATCGGTATTATAGAGAATAAATGGATGTAAGAAAATTACATGTATAAGTTTTGTATATTTGTTAATAATTTTGGTAATAAATATGATGTACTGCATCTCAGTACCCTAGCACTTCTTTTAATAAAAGCTAAATAGAAGGGGAAGTCTACTGCACATTTGTTTAATTGCGGAGCACAAAGATGGCCTTGTGATCTTGACCTAGCCTCAGGTTTCTTGGGGCTGGAGCTGATTCATAAGGCAAAGGCAGCAGTAGAGAAGTATGACACTGTGCATTCTTTTCCGGTCGCTGAACACACGAATGTTGTGGTTCCAGCTGTTAAGCTTTTCATGAACCGTCTTCAGCCCCCCACCTCTGAAAAGAGTAAAGGGTGGCTTGATGATATCAATGATGTAACGGTGAATTGTGCCGTATTTTTCATTTTGTGAGAGGGTTTTCCACATAGCCACCAAAAGACAGGCCACTATGCTACTTTTATCTCTGTCTATTGGCAAATCAAATATGTACAAACATGTGTACAAATATATACGAAATCTGTACACCTCACCAACACTGGGTGAGTTCACAGAAGGCTGGGACCATATTTTATTCATCTTTCCTTGCCCCACAATTGATTGTGAACAAGATAGTTTTCTGTGGGTCTTGTTTATAAAAATGGTTCTCAAATGTTAATGGGTGTCAGAATCTCCTAGAACACTTTGTTAAACAATAGCTTGTTGGGCCCTACCGCCCTGGAGTTTCCAATTCATCTGATCTGGGGCATTTTGCATTTCTAACAAGTTTCTAGGTCGTGCTGATGCCACTGGTCCAGGGATCAGACTTTGAGAACCTCTGTTGTATGGCCACTCTCTCTCAAACACAGGAAGATTAGATTATCAGCCCACTTGCACTGGAGCCCATCCCATCCATAGAATGTGTGATTTTTTTTTCCCCCCAGTATAAAGGACAGTTTGGCAGAAGTGTGTGAGAAGGCTGATGAGGGTCCAGGAGCCAGAAGGACGTGTTTTATGGTCTATTACATGGTACACTAACAGCCAAGCAAATTCTTATCATCAAACTTCAGTAGACTAACCCTTTCTTCCCATGAAAAGCAGCTCTCACACATCCTCTATGAGGGTAAGGTGTGATATAAAAATAAACTTAGCAAAGAAAGAAAGCAAGCATGAACTTGAGTCCAAACCAGCCTCTACAACATACCAGTTATTTGAATGTGAGAAAATTAACCCCTATAACATTTTTCCTTTCTGTCACTAGCCCTGAGGATAATTTTGTGACTATTTCACTTTGTATTGCATGTGTTGAGAACTGGGAACAGCTGTTATCCTAACCACAGGAGGTTATCATGCCCCGCATCCTGCAAATGTGGTACCCATGATACTGGGCATGAAGTGATTAAACAATCTCCCGGAGCTTCTGGTCCCTGGGAGGATGTTTAATGGTGTGATACAGGAAGTGTGAGAGAAGCACAGAATAAGAGATCCATTTCAGCTCACACTCTAAGCTGAAAGAGACTCTTCCTCCAAATGAGTTTTAAAATTTCCTTTCCACTGCCACAGTTTACCAGAAATGCTGGTCCCTCTGAAAAGAAAACATTATCACCACCAGACGGAAGGCAGAATGTGATCAGGGTAGGCAAGAGAACTGTAAAATTATTCAGCCATTGCTTTGTTAACAGGTAAAGGAGCTAGCCTATAACCTACATGTTGGGGGGAAACAGGAGCATTGGTATGAATCAATAAGACAGTCTGAAACCATTCTGGAACAAGAACACAAGCAAATAAAAATGATCAATGAATTTTCTGAAACAAAAAAGCAGACTATCCCAACATGGCAGATGGCAAAGACAAAGATGGAATGGTTCACACACAAAAAAAATCTGTAAATCCTGGAATCAAAATTCAGACAAGCCAAAATCAGTGCAGGCACATTGATTACAGCTTGTTACTAGTTCACTAGTGATGCAGAACTGGACCTTGATGTCAGAACTCATAATATATTCTTCATCGTGGTAGGACTACATTAACATGGGATACACTCTACAAGTAGCTCTTGTTACAGATGGACTCATTCTCAAATCCATTTTGTCATCTCCATAATAGAACTAAAGAACTTTCAAATATTTTTATGCATAAATACCTGGATTTAGGAGGCTTTTGTTTAATTTTAAGGGTCAAGGTTCTGATATAGGGAGTGGACAAAATTACATCAAGGAATCTTCTTTTTAAAATGATCTACTAATGACACATACCTGTCTCTTGTGATTCATGTTCTGCAAAAACCATGAGTACTAACTTATAGTATGTGCAATTAACTACAACATTAATGGGACGCCTGGTGGCTCCATCAGTTAAGCGTCTGCCTTCGGCTCAGGTCATGATCCCAGGGTCCTGGGATTGAGCCCTGCATCGGGCTCCTTGCTCAGCGGGGAACCTGCTTCTCCCTCTGCCTGCCGCTCCCCCTGCTTGTGCTAGCTCTTTCTCTCTCTCTCTCTCTGACAAATATAAATAATTAATTAAATAATTAATTAATTTATAAAATTAAACGATAACATTAGCCCCAAAACAAAATTTTTCTAAAATCTTTATTCCTGAGACAGGAAGCTTGCAAATCCTACCCCATGTGTTTGGCTACACTTTTGGTTTTGAAAGGATTGTCAGAGGGCTGATGATGAGGGTGCTTCCTCCACCCCAATACTTTTGCTACTGCGGCTGCCTTTCTGGTACACATGATGACAAGGCTTACTTCCCATCCCAGAAAGCCTTGGAACACTTCTTGGGAGTATCGACTCTCAAAAGCCATTAAAACTACCTATGAATCTCTTCTAATTTTTCAGAAAGGCTGGATCCTAGCTTCTCTTTTATTACTTCCTTGTCTTCCCCTTCCTCCCTAATCCCTGTTTTGTGACTATTGCTGCATAAAAAGACACTCCAAACTAAGTGGTGTAAAAAGACAATGACTTTATCGTGCTCACAGACTCCGCAGGTGGAAATTCAGGAAGGATCCACCAAGGACAACTCCTCTCTGCTCCACAATATCAGGACCTTAGCTGGGGTGACCAAAGGCTGGGGGTGACGCATCAACCTCCTCCGTATGTCTGGGGGTTGGTGCTGGCTATCCAGACCTGACAGGGCTGCCAACAAGACCTCCTCATGGCTCCTTGGGCTTCCCCACATTACGGTGCTGAGTTCCAGGAGTGAACGTCCCAAGAAAAGGCAGAAACTGAATCATCTTTTATGACCAGAAGTCACATAACGTTACTTCCATGGTAGTGACAAGCCTCCCCATGTTGAAAATGAGGAAACATGAACTCCACCTCTCAACGGGAAGAGTGTCAGGGCTACCTGGCAAGAAGAAATAACGTGCCCACTGTTGGAAAGAGTGATCAGCCACGTTGTCCGTCCCCTCTTTCTGCCTGCCTCCTCCCTGCATCCCAGGAATCATTTTTGGTTCTAGTCACTATTCCCTTTCTCTCTTCTACTCCTCCTCCTCTGTATAAACTACATTTTTGTTCTATGGGTATATTATTCTTCTTTGAAATTAAGTCGTATCCCTACCACCTAGTACTCTAAGAAGTAAGTGAACATTCCATGAAAACAGCTAGCAAAATATCCAACATATAACAAGCATATATTTTTATTGAGGTATAATTAACATACAATAAAAATATTTAAGGTATATAATTTAATAAGTATTGACATACATATATACCCATGAAGCCATGACTACAATCATACATATATACCCATGAAGCCATGACTACAATCAAGATAGTGAGTATGTCTGTCACCCCCAAAGGTTTTCTCACACCCTTTCATAATACATCCTTCCTGCACCTGCCTCTCCCCTGCAACTCCAATCAACCACTGTCGTGCTTTCTATGGATTAGTTTGCATTTTCTGGGGTTTTATATAAATGAAATCATACAGTGTGTACTTTTTTGTGTGGGCATGGGGGAGATCTGGATTCTTTCACTCAGCACTTTTTGAGATTCATCCAGGTCACTGTGTGTATCAGTAGTCCATTGTTTTTTGTTGCTGAGCAGTATTCTATT